GCTCAATGTAAGCAGATTTCTACTATTGCCGCATGCTCATCCAGGCTCCTGGAAAAGTCCAACTGGAAGCAATCAGCTGGTTTTAGATAGATACCTTTGAACAATCTGTCGGAGACGTTTAATGGGAAATCTCTGTAAAGTACGGTGAAATGATATTTGATGTAAATAGTGTTTATATAAATAAAACTGAATGAAACAGAGTTGAAAAGGTAACAGTTACTGCACTTGATTAAAGGTTTAACGACTTTTGTTCTGCAGAAGTTAGTATTTCATTTTCACTATTCATATTCCAAATCTGCAAGTAGCATCATTTTTCTTTTATTTCCCTAACTTCTGTGCTTAGGTTTACTTATTACATCAGAGAAAAACATTTCTTGTGTAAAGATGATATAAAGAAGATGTTGCTTCTTAAAGAAATGAGGTGTTGCTGGAATTGATCGATTTTTTAGTTCACCGGAAAAAATCAAAATCTAGATAAGTCACTTTTTCTTAAAATAAGTGCATTTTTTCTTGAATTGAGAAGGTAAAAGAGACATTTTGCCAATACGACAAAACAATTTCTATTTAAAATAAGAAAAAACAACTGCATTGTCTTATTTCAAGTGCATCTTATCTAAATATCTTATTTTAAGAGCAAAAATACTCATTCCATTGGCAAACCATCATATTTACCTACTCAAATTAAGGGTAAATACACTTAATTTAAGACATTTTTACTTATTTCTAGATAATTTTTCCAGTGTTTCTGCTTTCCAAAGCTGTTCAGCACCATGAAGGACAAACATGCTACCAATAGAAAAATGCAAGACTGAAGGATGCAAAGGAACAAATCCCTCCTCAGGTTCACCAGGCTATGCAGACAGTTGTACTGTCAGTGATTTACTATCTTTGAAAGTCTTTGAGAGCTTTTCAGGTTCCCCGCAGGTCGGACAGATCTCAGCAGCCTGACTTTTCTAGCTCTTGATGGTCTGTTGACTCCTGTACATCCAGAAAAATCTTTGGTAACATCTCAAAGTTCAAAACCAGGTTAGAATAATGCTCCCTCATGGGGGAGTGCTGGTTAGAGCAGTCCGCTTTAGCTCTGAGAAGGTTGCAAGTTCCCGGTTCGATCTCCACAGCCTGCACTCTGGGTCCCTGAGCAAGACCCTTAACCCCACGCTGCTTCCCAGGCGCTGAACAGTGTCAGCCCACTGCTCCGCATGGGGATGAGTTTAATATGGACAGTTTATTTCTCCATTGTGGGACAATACATTTCTATTTCTCTATGCTAATTATTAGCACAGCACTTCTAGGAAATGATAAAAGGTAGGAGCCTGCAGAGATCTTCAAACTGATCCTCTCTGCTCTCTTGTCTTCAGCTCAGCCACAAAAGTTTTTGATGAATTTAAAGAACGGGGTCTGAGAAAGTCATGCACTGCAAAAACAATCTAGAAATAAGTAAAAACTTCTTAAATCAAGAGTATTTATCCTTAATTTCAGCAAGTAAATAAAATTATTTGCCAATGGAAATTGTATTTTTTACTCTTAAAATAAGATCAGATAATATGGACTTGAAATATGATAATACAGTTGTTTTTTCTTATTTTAAATGTAAATTGTCTTGTTCCATTGGCAAAGTGTCTTACTTACCTCCTCAATGCAAGAAAATATGCACTTATTTTAAAAAATATATACTTATTTAGATTTATAGTTTTTGCAGTATGGAACAGGTTTGATTTTTCTCTAAGTGGAACCGTTGCATGTTTTTGATCACTGTGCTCCTGAAAGAACTTATGATGAAGAAGACAAGCAGACCGAAAACATCAGAGATCCTCTACTCAAACATGTTCTTCAGCAGATTTTTCTTTTAAAACCACGTGCGATCTTGGGTTTGCAAACTTCAATGTGAGACTAATCTGAGCTTCAGCTAAAAGTCCCAGTGAAAATCAGCAGACTCTAAATGTTTATTTATGCGACAGAAGAACAGAGAAATCTTTTTGCTGCCGCTCATCCAAAACAGCCACTTGTTGCTGCGGTTTTCTAGCAGTGAGGCAGGTGGTAGAAAGCTGACTGTGGCTCCTCATCCAGTCCTATTAGACATGTTGATCGTTGCTGTAAAGGTCAAAAGGGATTTTTCCTGCAACCATTTCCTTACTTACTATAATTCCACAGTTTGTCTTTCAAACGCCAATCTCTGTTTTTCCCCATACTATCAGTGACTCAGGCTAACGGTGTCAGGGTTGGTTGTGGTTTAGGACCCAAATGCAGAGGCAGAGAGGCTGAGGTGATTTCTTGTGGATTTAATCAAAAAAGTAAATAAAGGCAGGGATGCAAAAATCTAGTGATGTTATGAGATGAGCCGAGGCTTTGAGGCGTGTGTCGAGTAATGGAGGGGGCGTTTCCCCAAAGCGCGTGTCGAGGCGTGATTCATTTAGAGGAGGGGCCAAAATTTATGACGTCAAAAGCCGTGAAACCACGTGACCGCTTCGGGAAGTGGTTCAGAATTCGCAAGAATTTTGAAAGGCATCTAAACAGCCTCAGTGTTCAGTCAAGATGTGGGAGTTTGGAGGAGAGATGCTCTCAGCTGGATAAAGTTTGGATAGATTCTAATAATAGATTGGTTGGAATAAACAATGTAATTATCAAAATTTGAGCAAACCACTGGACAAAGCCCGCGTTAACACGTCAGTGTTAAAAAGTATTTTCTCCTGGGTGAGATCAGCTACATAGGTGGTGTCAGCTGTAAGAGTCACGCTCCCACTCTAGAGGTTGATGGTTCAAGTCCTGTCTTTGACTTTTGAAAATTTCGATTACACTTAATTATTTTGGCTGATGAGACTAATTTGCAGTTTTTTGCCCGAGTAAAAATATAGATTGGGTAAATTAGGTCGGTTTAGCCAAAAGATTGGTTTAACACAACTTCCAACCTGATTAAAACCAAAAAACGTGGAAAAACTATCATGTTTGAATAAAAATGACTAACACCTTTCATTTTGTTCATCATTACCCAATTTGCACAAACACTGTCACTGTCTGCTTGAGTTTATTTCACTAAAATGGCAGAAAAACGGTGCACCTTAAATTATTGTTCTAAGAAATTTTACACTTAAAAAAACTTACAAAAGATTTTATTATAAACACCAACCATTAATAATTAATAATTTCAAGGGAACTTAAAAGGGGAAAAAAAGAAAAACAGTTGCAAAAAAAAAAAAAAATCACTGATTTTATTACACACTGTAGTTCTGCTGTCCACCAGTAGGTGGTGACATGTTCACATGAAGCCTCATGAACTGTGGGGATCGTTGAAGCAATTTGGCCAAACGGTTCAATGCCTCATGAGGCTTTATCTCAACATCACTACAAAAATCCAACTAATAAAGAAAAGCAAACCAGAACTATGGAGACATCTGGGGAAGCCAAACACTAGGAGCCAGGGAGAGACGAGGTTGGTGGACAACAGCATGGGAGGACAGCTGACAGAGACAAAGGCAGGGCTAACGAGCTAACAAGGAGCAGGTGTGAGAGGAGACAACGAGGGAGCCAAGGCGAAAGGAACACACACACAAGAGGGCAACAGAGGACAGAAAAACATGACTAACATAAATCTAGAAATTACAACCAAATTGGAATTAAACCAATAAAACTAGAAAACAAGGAGAAAAGTAAAGAAGAACAGAACCAAGACCATGACAAACGGACCTCTGTTTCACATTATAGTTGTACCCCATGTAAACATAAATGATTTATTTCCTAATAAAATTTCTACGCACGGACATAAACATGAAAACAAACAGCGAAACTGATACAGAATTTTTTTTTAAAAAGGATTATTTTTGGGAAAATCCCAGCAATTTCACTGGAAAAAAATCGAAATCTAGATAAGGCATTTTTTTCTTGGATTGAGGAGATAAAAGAGACATTTTGCCAGTGGAACAAGACAATTTACATTTAAAATAAGAAAGCACAATTGCCTTGTCTATTTTCAAGTGCATTTTATCTAATTATCTTATTTTAAGAGTAAAAATACTCATTCCATTGGCAAAATATCTAATTTACCAACTCAAAATAAGGGTAAATGCACTTAATTTAAGGAATTTTTACTTATTTCTAGATCGTTTTTCCAGTGTTTTTTTTTCTTAAAAAAATGAAAAATATGTTTTTTTTAAAGCAGGATTTTAGATAATTATCTTGATTAATTATTATACTCCGTGTCTGTAACAAAACCGTTTTTTTAAGGCTTTTAAAACCTCTTTACTGGAGGTTACAGTTATAGTAGGCAAGGCAAGGCAAGGCAGGGCAAATTTATTTGTATAGCACAATTCAGTACAAAGACAATGCAAAGTGCTTTACATGATTAAAATACAGGAAGATAAAACAGAATCAAAGCAGGTAGGAAAAAATAAAAAATAAATAAAATTAAATTAAAAATGCTGAAACAAAAAATAATATTAAAAACAGTTGGACTAAAGAAAATATGTTTTAGTTGAACTGTTTAACTAGAACACACTGGAAAAAATAGAAATCTAGATAAGTCAATTTTTTATTAAAATTAGTGTATTTGTTTTTGGATTGAGGAGGTAAAAGAGACATCTTGCCAATGGAACAAAACAATTTACACTTAAAATAAGAAAACGCAATTGCATTGTCTTATTTAAAGTGCATATTATCTAATTATCTTATTTTAAGAGTAAAAATACTCATTATAATGGCAAACCATCTCAATTACCTACTCAAATTAGGCATAAATACACTTAATTTAAGACATCTTTTGTTATTTCTAGATCGTTTTTCCAGTGTAGTTAAAGGCAATCCTAAACAAATGTGTTTTTAGTCTTGATTTAAAGGAACTCAGGCTTTCCGCACTTTTACAGTTTTCTGGAAGTTTGTTCCAGATAAGTGGAGCATAGATAGTAGTAGTGATACTGGAATCCTGGGAAGCATAAAGCGTCGCACACTCAGCCAATCACAGAGACCCTAACAAAGACCTGGTTCTAAATTAGCTGAGCGTCCTGTCCTACCTGAAGGATGCTCGTTCCCCTGGGAACGGTTTCCAGAATGCTGGTCTCGTAGCTGTTTTGGAGGAAGATGGGCCTGTTGTCATTGACGTCCTGCACCTCAACAAACACAGTGGCGGTGCCTGTCCTTCGGCTCCCTGCTGGACCGTTGTCTGCAGGGAGAAAACAAAAAAACAAAACATCCACAATGCAAAAAAATGAAATCTAAATAAGTCATTTCTTCTTAAATTAAGTGCATTTTTTCTTGAATTAAGGATTTAAGTGAGACACTTTGCCAATGGAACAAGACAGTTTACATTTAAAATAAGAAAAAAACAATTGCATTGTCTTATTTCAAGTGTAAATTATCTAATTATCTTATTTTAAGAGTAAAAATAATAATTCCATTGGCAAATCATCTTATTTACCTGCTCAAAATAAGGGTAAATACCCTTAATTTAAGAAATGTTTTACTCATTTTGAGATCATTTGTATGATTAGTGTTTAGTTTGGATTAGATGGTTATTGTCTCATCTGATCTAAGACGCACTGAAGGGACCTGTAGGGCAGAGATGGGAAGTAACGAAGTACAAATACTTCGTTACTGTATTCAAGTAGATTTTTCTGATATTTTTACTTTACTTTACTGCTTATTTTTATGGCGACTTTTTACTTCTACTCCTTACATTTTTACACAAATATCTGTACTTTCTACTCCTTACATTAAAAAAAATTGTCTCGTTACTTTAGTTTTGAATCATTTCAATGGAGTTACCGTTATTATTTTTCACGTCATCAATACCAAATTCAATCTGATTGGATGGGAATCTACGTTGCATTTGACGCACCACTACAAGATGAATCGCCAGATTCGGCGGTATTCATTCGCTGCAAATCATTGCAGCTTGGTGGCGGTGGCGTTAGCATAGTAGTATGGACGACGAGATGATTGAAAATGAACACAACAGAGATCTAGTCCTATTGGCAGACATCCATTTAAAATGTAGGCAACGGCATGAAAAAAGTGGTTTCTACTTTTACTTTTATACTTTAAGTAAATTTACAAGCCTGTACTTTGTTATTTTTACTTGAGTAAAGAAGTTTAATCAGTACTTCCACTTTTACCAGAGTATTTTTTAACACAAGTATCTGTACTTTTACTCAAGTACGGAAAGTGAGCACTTTTGCCATCTCTGTAGTAGGGGCATGGTACACTCTCTGTCTTTAGTGCAGCCTATTGTTTCATGGGTAAATAAAAAACTGTTTTTTTTGCATTAACACTTTAAAATGTTTAGCCTATTTTAATTAATTGAAATTGAAGTCATGTTAACCTTTCAGAGCCGACTATTTATTTCGCTATTTTCTGTCATCTTGCACATCAGAGCAGCGTTTTAAACTTTTTGCATGATCTGTCTTTTCTACTTTTTTTTGTATGTTTGGTCCAAGTAGCAGAAAATCTACCTTGATGAAGCAAGAATTTAAAAATCCCCAAGTGCAGCTTTACAACATCATGTTCATAAAACAGTAAAAAGGAAACAGGATTTTTAATTATAGGAAGAATTATGTCAAAGATGTCATCATACCACTTGAACTATTTTCCACATAAAAAAAACCTCTAAATTTGAAGTACTTTGGTGCGTATATGTGATTCGAAAAAAAAAAGAAAGATTTGGTTTTCCAATTTATTAAAAAAACTAATTATTTTAACGTTGATTTGGTCCACCTCCCTCTGATAAATAAGATCAAATGAAACCAATTATCTTCGGAAATCCGCACATCAGTCTGTCTGCCTGGATTGTCAGACTGAGGAAAAGGTGCATTAATTCAAGCATTAAGCTGCACTGGAGGAGCTGCAGATATCCACAGCTCAGCTTTTTAGATTTCGGCAGCTCCTTAACCTTTTCATAACATGAGGACCCAAATTTGGGTCCTCAGCACTCGCCCCAAGATGGTTTTTAACACCTGTAACATATTCTCTGGGGTCTTGCCTTTATTTTGATACCAAAACAATTAAAATAAACTCTGTAGTTCTTGAGATATATTCAATTCATTTTGGGCATGTTATTTTCAAGCATATTTCTCGAAAACAGGCCTAATACCTCGGCTTCATGGATAAAAGACATAAAGATGACTGTAAAAGTCCTATTTGCTCCCCGGGAGCATTGTAGGGTTAACAGTCATTGCTAAGGAACCCAGAGTGGCAGTCTGTGGGAGTGGGTTTCAAACTCACAACCACAGATTCCAAGCTCTATGCCCTCACCACTAGGCCACCAATCCCCCTACACTGCAAAAATTATCTAAAAATGAATAAAAATGTCTTAAATTAAGTGTATTTACCCTTAATTTGAGCAGGTAAATAAGATGATTTGCCAATGGAATGAGATATTTTTACTCTTAAAATAAGATAATTAGATCATACGCACTTGATGTAAGACAATATAATTATTTTTTCTTATTTTAAATGTAGATTCTCTTGTTCCATTGGCAAAGTTTCTCACTTACCTCCTTAATTCAAGAAAAAATTCACTTATTTTAAGAAAAAAATGACTTATTGGGATTATATTTTTTGCAGTGTAGGCATTAAGTTTACCTGTAACCCCGTAAAGTTACAGGTAAACTGAGTGGTACCTGTTGCACAGTGGGTCAACAACAAAGAAGAAGCAGTACAGAAGCCTTGTGCAACTTTTTGTGGATTATTTTTTTTTTTAACCCGGATTATTAAGATGCAAAAAGACTGATTACTTTTGAATAGAGTTTTTTTTCTATTTTATTCAAAATGCAAATGCATGACACACCTATTGCCTCAATGACCAGAGTGTAGACCGCCTGAGTCTCTCTGTCCAAGCCCACCACAGTCCTAACGATGCCGTCTCGGAAGCCAACGCTGAATTTTCCATCTTGATTCCCACCTACAAAAATCAAACACAAATCCAGGTTTAAAAGAAAAGCAATGAAACAGCAATTCCGTTCTTAAAGAGATATGCACAGATATCCACAGACATGGATGGATGGTAGGCAGTGAAGCTTCACAGTACAATAGATCGGCTCATTTAATTGTGCAACACTCTAAACCCACAAACGTGTGACCGCTGTGACGTCTGACCTGTGATGAAGTAGCTAAGCTCTGCGTTGAGACCAGCATCGTTGTCAAAGCAGACGAGGCGCGCAACGATGTGGTCTCTGGGGACACTCTCCATCAGGGAAACATTGTAAACTCTGGGGTTGAAGGTGGGCGTCTCATCATTTACATCCAGAACTGACAGACACACAGACAGATACACACAGATAGATGTACATGAGGACAAGTAAGGCAGCAGGGCATGGCAGTGAGAAGCTAACCTAACTGGGTTAACTGGTTAACTTAAATAAAATGACGTACAGCCTGTTTTATTCAACGGTTTAATGTTTTATGAAGCAGAATATGAAGCTACAGCAGATTGAATTACAAAATAAATATATATAGTATGAAATATTGTTCTATCAAACTGGTCCTATAGTCACTCTATTACAGATGGAGTAATGTAACTAAAGTAATTTCTCCCTGGGATTATTAAAGTATTTCTGATTCTGATTGAATGGACAGGTGTTGTGAATGAAACGGTGCCCAGCTTGAAAGATCCATATTGAGATTGGATCCCAGTTTAGTTTTTTTCAAAAGAAATTGCTCTAATGTTTAAAGCTGAATGCATCAGTTTTTTTCTTCTATTTCAGATTTTATAGAAAACTGTAATTTTAACTTAAATTAAGTCAAAAATATATAAAATTCCAAAATTATGAATGTATTTTGACCTAATAAGAAATATAATTTTGATTAAACCTAATATATTATTATATATTTTAATATATTAAACATTAATATATTTGAATCCCTTGCCCTGTTTTTTTTATTTCATTATTTTTTGTGCCCCCAGGAAAACCAAGCTGGCCCCCTGGTACATTTGGTCTAGAACCGCCACTGGCATTGGTGACTGAAGGTCATCTTCTGCCTCCACTTATCTGTTTCCTACAGTGTTTTCAATTCATGTTAAAGGAATAGTACACCCAAAACATGATTAGCCTTCATTTTCTACTCACCCCCATGCTGAACAACACTCTGGAGTACTTTTTTGATATCTCAAATGCATCTGGAGATCTGGGAGGCTTCTTGCTGTCTGCTGACATTCAAATAATGGAGGTCTATGGTGACCGAGGCAGAAAGGTCCATAAAAGTCCACAGAAAACGTGTCAATATTCCTCCATACTGCTCGTCCAATGTATTCCAAGTGTCCTGAGTGGGTAGCGTCCAGAATTTACTCGAAACGAAGTCATTTAGAATGTTTTTAGAGCATAAACAGTATTGTATAGGATTTCCTCAAAGCGCGTTCACGAGTCTACGGAAACCGCGGCAGACCAACCCAGATGAAAGTGCGCATTCAGCTCGGCAAAGAACTCATGCTCTTCCTCAACACTGAAATCCTCAGACATTTTTCTTTCGTTGTTTCTTTCTTTGCACAGGTAAACAGCACATTTCTTCTTCTACGCTTGCATTATCGGCAGAGCAGACGCTGAATGCGCACTCTCGTCTGGTTTGGTCTGCCGCGGTTTCCGTAGACTCGTGAACGCGCTTTTAGGAAATCCTATACACTACTGTTTATGCTCTAAAAACATTCTAAATGACTTTGTTTCGAGTAAATTCTGGATGCTACCCACTCAGGACACTTGGAATACATTGGACGAGCAGTATGGAGGAATATTGACACGTTTTTTGTGGACTTTTATGGACCTTTCTGCCTCGGGCGCCATAGACCTCCATTATTTGAATGTCAGCAGACAGCAAGAAGCCTCCCAGATCTCCAGATGCATTTGAGATATCAAAAAAGTACTCCAGAGTGTTGTTCAGCATGGGGGTGAGTACAAAATGAAGGCTAATCATGTTTTGGGTGTACTATTCCTTTAAAGACATTTTAATTAGTGGAAAAAATTGCGGGGGGAGGGGGATATAAAAAAAAAAAAAGTCTAATCAACCAAAACTTTCGCGGCCCCCATGCAGTACCTCTGGGGACCCCTAGGGGTCGCGGACCCCCTGTTGAAGACCTCTGAATTAAACAATGAGGTGCGGCTTTTCTGCTTCTAATTTAAAAAGTTTTGAAGCAGATTGTGAACATTTCTAGAAAAACGGGAGTTTAGGTTTTTTGTTGGGTTGGAGCAGACCGGTATGTGAAGACAATGCCAGGGTGGAAAGACAGCAACGACCTCAGAGAGGCAACGGCTGCTGCTCATCAATCTGGGAAGAATTGCAAAAAGCTCAAAGTCAATTCACCTCTTCCCTGTTTCATAGGCGTTCAATCAGTCTTTTCTTCCATTTCAAACACAAAAACTTAAACCAAATTAGTTGCAGTATTTTTTGAATGACTTGAAATACTATCATTCAATCAATAATAAAGAATCAACTGAAAAACTTCACAGAAAGAAATATTTCACCCAATTTTAAGATTTATGTAAATTCATTAAATGAAAAAAAAAAATCCTGTTTACTCTCTTTTAGATATTTGTACCACAAACGTATTAAATGAACGTACATGATGCATCTCATCTGTATAACAAAGCTTTTTTTTTTATTTTGAATAAACATCAGGTTTATGTATTTGGTATCAAAAAAAAAAAAAAACTTACTCAAAATTAATACAAATGAGTGTATTAAATCCATAAAGTTATTATTATGCAATTCAAATAATAAACTTTATGGATTTGAAATAAATACCTTCATTACACTGGAAAAAAATCAAAATGTAGATAAGTTATTTGTTCCTAAAACAAGCTTAGACTGAGGAGGTAAAAGATACATGTTGCCAATGGAACAAGACAATTTACACTTAAAATAGGAAAACACAACTGCATTGTCTTATTTTAAGTGCATATTATCTAATTATCTTATTTTAAGAGTAAAAATACTCATTCCATAGGCAAACTATCTCATTTACCTACTCAAATTAAGGGTAAATACACTTAATTTAAGACATTTTTACTTATTTCTAGATCATTTTTCCAGTGTAGGGAGAACTGGTAGGAAACACTTTCTCTTCTCTAGAAATAAAAGCACAGCATCATGTAGGTGATCTGTTTTTCTAACACATAACTTCTGTAATAATACTCTTTAGAAAGAGGAGACCAAAGCATGTTTGGTAATAAAACAAATTTGAGCATTTGAGCCCAAACACACTGGAAAAACATATATTTCTTAAAATAAGGGATTTTTTTTCTTGAATTGAGGAGGAAAGTGAGACATTTTGCCAATGGAACAAGACAATTCACATTTAAAACAAGAAAAAAATAACTATTTTATTGTCTTAAGTATATATTACACTGAAAAAACCATCTAAAAATGAGGAAACAATGTCTTAAATTAAGTGTATTTACCATTAATTTCAGTAGGTAAATAAGATAATTTGCCAATGGAATGAGTATTTTTAGTCTTAAAATAAGATAATTAGATAATATTCACATGAAATAAGACAATGCCATTGTGTTTTCTTATTTTAAATATAAATTGTCCTGTTCCATTGGCAAAATGTCTCAATTACCTCCTCAATTCAAGAACAATTGCTCTTATTTAGTTTTCAATTTTTTGCAGTGTATCTACATACCTTATTTCAAGAGTAAAAAATCCTCTCTCCATTGGCAAATCATCTTATTCATCTACACAAAGAAGGGCTCAATACACTTAATTTAAGACATTTTGACTTATTTCTAGATTGTTTTTACAGTGCACCTTTAAACATCTCACAGGCATGAGGTGGAACACTGGAAAAAAAATCGAAATCTAGATAAGTCGTTTTTTTCCTTAAAATAAGTGCAATTGTTCTTGGATTAAGGAGATAAAAGAGACATTTTGCCAATGGAACAAGACAATTTACATATAAAATAAGAAAACACAATTGCATTGTCTTATTTCAAGTGCATTTTATCTAATTATCTTATTTTAAGAGTAAAAATACTCATTCCATTGGCAAATTATCTCGTTTACCTACTCAAAATAAGGCTAAATGCACTTAATTTAAGGAATTTTCACTTATTTCTAGATTGTTTTTCCACCTTTAAAGGCCTATAATCACTTTTAAAGGTGATTATAGGCCTGAATGCTAAGGTACGCTAGTGTCGAATGAGACCTCGTGTGTCTGACAGCTGAAGTCTGATTGAAACTGGATCACAAACCAACCAGCTGATGTTGTTTAAGCGAAGTGAAAACATAATAGCCCAGTCAAAGCTCAAACAGAAAATAGTTACTTGTTGATGGGTGTTTTTTTCCTTTTAACAGTAACTTTCTCTATTTTTTCTGTATGTGCCATTATCGTTTGGGTTGTTTTTCCTTCTATGCGTTGCAGGTAAAAACTTGTAAAGCTCAATCAGTTCTTTCTGAATTAATTAGGGTGTATTTCCTCTTTCACACTGCAAAAAATCTGAATCTAGATTCAGTCATTCAGTCATTTGTTCTTAAAATAAGTGCATTTGTTCTTGAATTGAGGAGGTAAAAGAGACATTTTGCCAATGGAACAGGTCAATTTACACTTAAAATACGAAAACACAATTGCATTGTCTTATTTCAAGTGCATGTTATCTAATCATCTTATTTTAAGATTAAAAATACTCATTCCATTGGCAAACTATCTCATTTACCTGCTCAAATTAAGGGTGAATACACTTAATTTAAGACATTTTTACTGATTTCTAGATCCTTTTTGCAGTGCAGTGACTGTATTGAATCACTTTTCAGTGATATCTCCTCGTCTTAAAAGCCCCAAATCACTTCTACTGACAAACCACCAGGAGGCTGCGGCATGTTTTCCAGTAGCTCTCTGAGATTTAAAAAGTTTGCCATCTTCCATAATTAATCAAGTCATCAGTTTGAAACAAGATTCAGTCAGCAGTTTAGGAATTTTCTCAAGCAGAGAGAGCCAATCAAAAGTCACCTGAGACGGTGAGAGTTGAAGTGGAGGTGCGAGGAAACTCCCCGGCGTCATGTGCAACAATCCTCAAGTGGTACTGGCCAATCTGTTCCCGATCCAGCACAGCCGTGGAGGTGAGAACGCCGGTGGAGGTGTTGAGGTGGAAGTCAAGGCGCGGCATGCCCATCTGGAGGGCCATCGTAATGCGACCGTTCTCGTCCTTATCCGGGTCCACTACCTGAACCTGAGGAAAGAAATACTCCTGTTACTCCTACAAAAGGTCTGCCATCAGAGAAGCAGAGAATTTACCATCTACACTGCAAAACATTGAAATCTAAATAAGTCATTTTTTCTTGCAATAAGTGCATTTTTTCTTGAATTGAGGAGGTAATTGAGACACTTTACATTTAAAATAAGAAAACACAATTGCATTGTCTTATTTCAAGTGAATATTATCTAATTATCTTATTTTGAGACTAAAAATACTAATTCCTTTGGCAAATTATCTTATTTACCTACTCAATTAATGGTAAATACACTTAATTTAAGAAATTTTCTTCCTCATTTTTAGATGGTTTTTGCAGTGTACCATATACTGCAAATAAATCTCTATTTACTGCAAAAAAGTAAATCTAAATGAGGCAATGTTTCTTAAAATAAATGCATTTTTTCTTGAATTGAGCTGGTAAGTGAGACACTTTGCTAATTGAGACAATGCACTTGAAAAAAAGATCTAGAAATTAGTATAAATCTCAAGATTTGTATAAATCTTCAAGAGAAAATGCACTTATTTTAAGAAACATTGCCTTACTTAGAATGACTTTTTTGCAGTGATTAGAGATATGATTATATTTACAATTCGTTTGCACACAGCCAGAGGCTATTTTCTCTATATTTGATTTACACAGGCAGTTTGGTTAGATTTAATTTAATTTATTTTGCCATAACCACGGCTCTGAGTGCAAAGGATCACCTTGCTTTTCAGATTTCTCCTCTTCACTGGAAAAACAATCTAGAAATAAGTAAAATGTTCTTAAATTAAGTGTATTTACCCTTAATTTGAGTAGGTTAATATCATTATTTGCCAATAGAATGAGTATTTTTACTCTTAAAAATGAGATAATTAGATAATATGCACTTGAAATCAGACAATGATTTCATTTTTTTGCAGTGCACTCCTATAAACATCTCTGTATCTGTGTAATATGACTCTAAACAGGAACATTCTTATCGTCTTTACCCTGAAGAATGAGGTTCCGATGGGAAGTCCCTCTGGAACTTCTGCTACAAACGGCAGGTTCAGGAAGGTTGGGTCGTTATCGTTAAGATCCAGCAGGTTGACAAACACTGTGGTGCTGGCTGTTGCACGCAGTGGAGGTGTGCCTCCTACAGAGGGCGCCGGAAGGGAACATAAAACAAAGCACACAGAGGAATACAAAACACAAAAGAGAATATGTTTCCATTAGTAGAGTCCATCAACTCAACAAAATCCTATCTTTGTTGTCTTGATAGGCTGCACACATTCAGATGAACATAAACTACTCACGGTCCACAGCAGACACTACAATGCTCCTCATGAGGACCGTGTCTCTGGAGTTTGAGCTTTCCCTGTCCAGAGTCATCCCGCTGGTGCGGATCTTCCCTGTCCTGCTGTCGATGGTGTAGAAAGGGTTTGCAGGACTGATCGCATACGTCACCGTCCCGTTTTCCCCGTTATCTGGATCCACTGCCAACACCTTCAATGTAGACAAGAGAGGGAAAGTGAAAATAACATGCAGCTTTAGGAACAGGAAGGATTTTTGATGAAAATGGAAGGAGGGAAGGAGACTGTCTGCTGTGTTTCTTTCTCTTCCTAATGCTGTTTTTCTTTACCGATGTTCTCCACACTGGAAGAATTATTCAGAAATAAGTAAAAAGTTCTTAAATTGAGGTTATTTACCCTTAATTTGAATAGGTAAATGATATAGTTTGCCAATGGAATGAGTATTTTTAATCTTAAAATAAAATAATTAGATAATATGCACTTGAAATAAGACAATGCAATTGTTTTTTTTCTTATTTTAAATGTAAATTGTCTTGTTCCGTTGGCAAAATGTATCTTTTACCTCCTCAATCCAAGAACAAAGGTACTTATTTTCAGAAAAAATTACTTATCTAGATTTAATTTTTTTTTCCACACTGGAAAAACGATTTAGAAATAAGTAAAAATTTCGTAAGTGAAGTGTATTTACCCTTAATTTGAGTAGGTAAATGAGGTAGTTTGCCAATGGAATCAATATTTTTACTCCTAAAATAAGATAATTTAATAACATGCACTTGAAATAAGACAATCCAACTGAGTTTTCTTATTCTAAATGTAAATTGTCTTGTTCAGTTGGCAACATTTCCCGTTTACCTCCTCAATTCAAGAAGAAATGCACTTATTTTAAGAAAAAATTACTTATCTAGATATAATTTTTTTTCCAGTGCAACAAACCTCTAAGGCCTTCACAGCAAAAACAATCTTAAAATAAGTACATGGTGCCCTTAATTTGAGGAGATTAATTTGTATATTTGCCCTTAAAATAACATAATTAGACATTATGCACTTGAAAAAAGACATTGCAGTTTTGATCAGTTTTAATCCACGTTAATCCAGGTTAAAAATCTAAATCTAAAGAAGTAATTATTTTCTAAAAATAAGTGCATTTCTTCTTGAATTGAGGACGTAAAGAGACAATTTACATTTAAAATAAGAAAATACAACTGCATTGTTTGATTTTAAGTGTATATGATCTAATTATACTACCTTAAGAGTAAAAATACTCATTCCATTGACAAATAATCTTATTTACCTGCTCAAATTAAGTGCAAATATACTAAATTTAAGAAATGTTTACTTATTTCTAGATCGTTTTTCCAGTGCATTGTCTCAATTTGCAAAGTGTGTCACTTACCAGCTCAATTCAAGACAAAATGCACTTATTTTAAGAAAAATTGCCTTACTTAGAATTACTTTTTTGCAGTTATTAGAGATATGTTCACTGGAAAAACGATCTAGAAATAAGTAAAAGTAAAAATGTCTTAAATTAAGTGTATTTAATCTTAATTTCAGCAGGTAAATGAGATAGTTTGCCAATGGAATGAGTATTTTTACTCTTAAAATAAAATAAGTAGATAATATGCACTTGAAATAAGACAATGCAATTGTGTTTTCTTATTTTAAATGTAAATTGTCTTGTTCCATTGGCAAAATGTATCTTTTTCCTCCTCAATCTAAGAACAAATGCACTTATTTTAAGAAAAAATAACTTATCTAGGTTTGATTTTCTTTTTTCCAGTGCAACAAATCTCTAAGGCCTTCAAGCAAAAAACAATCTTAAAATAAGTACATGGTGCCCTTAATTTGAGGAGATAAATTTGTATATTTGCACTTAAAATAACATAATTAGACATTATGCACTTGAAATAAGACATTGCAGTTTTGATCATTTTTAATCCACGTTACACTGGAAAAACAATCTAGAAATAAGTAAAAAATCCTTGAATTAAGTGTATTTACCCTTAATTTGAGTAGGTAATTGAGATAGTTTGCCAATGGAATCAGTATTTTACTCTTAAAATAAGATAATTAGATAATATGCACTTGAAATAAGACAATGCAATTGTACTTTCTTATTTTTAGTGTAAATTGTCTTGTTCCATTGGCAAAATGTCTCTTTTACCTCCTTAATCCAAGAACAAATGCACTTATTTTAAGAAAAAAATACTTATCTAGATTTAGATTTTTTCCAGTGTAATCCAGGTTAAAAATCAAATCTAAAGAAGTAATTCTTTTCTAAAAATAAGTGCATTTCTTCTTGAATTGAGGACGTAAAAGAGATAATTTACATTTAAAATAAGAAAACACAACTGCACTGTTTGATTTCAAGTGTATGTGATCTAATTATCTTATTTTAAGAGTAAAAATACTCATTCCATTGACAAATAATCTTATTTACCTGCTCAAATTAAGCATAAATATACTTAATTTAAGAAATGTTTACTTATTTCTAGATCGTTTTTCCAGTGCATTGTCTCAATTTGCAAAGTTTGTCACTTACCAGCTGAATTCAAGACAAAATGCACTTATTTTAAGAAACATTGCCTTACTTAGAATTACTTTTTGGCAGTGATTAGATATATGTTTATATTTATAATTCCTTTGCACTCAGACAGAGGCTATTTTCTCTATATTTGATTTACACAGGCAGTTTGGTTAGATTTAATTTAATTTATTTTGCCATAACCAGAGTGCAAAGGATCACCTTGCTTTTCAGATTTCTCCTCTTCACTGGAAAAACAATCTAGAAATAAGTAAAATGTTCTTAAATTAAGTGTATTTACCCTTAATTTGAGTAGGTTAATGAGATAGTTTGCCAATGGAATGAGTATTTTTTACTCTTAAAATGAGATATTTAGATAAAATTCACTTGAAATAAGACAATGCAATTCTGTGTTCTTATTTTAAATCCAAATTTTCTTGTTCCATTGGCAAAATGTCTCCTTTTCCTTCTCAGTTCAAGAACAAATGCACTTAGTTTAAGAAAAAAAATACTTATCTAGATTTAGATTTTTTCCAGTGTTCATGTTTATGCCCAAAATCTTAGCTGGTTTATGACAAATTCCCTCAATATGCATGAACGTCTGCAGTGATATGATGAAGTATGAAAAGTTAATGGGGTAGGAATACTTTTGGAGGCGCTTTAACTTCCCTCCCAGCTGTCGGTGTTCCAGCTTAAAGAAAAATGGATGCAGCTGTTTTTCTCTTGCAATTGTGATGGATGATACATGCTTGGAGCCTGAAGCCGAGCTAAAGCACAGGCTGATTTTTAAAGAGCTGATCAATTATTTACAGTCTTGACTAAAATTGCTGGAAAAGGGTTAATTGGTCATTAGAGAAACAAAGGCTATTGTAGGCGTTTAATTATTAAGAAGACATGTTAGGCTGGCATCTCTGAGACTCGTTGATTAGCCAAAACACAGACAAGGTAGGTGAAATAAGGTGTCGTGCAGTGGGAGCTCCGTTCCAGTAATCAATACTGCTCTGAGAGAAACACATTCAATGATATTTGCCTGGATGATCAAACCTGGGTTTAGAGTTCCTCCAGAGAGGCAGAGGAGAGCTTTAGAGGGTTATGTTGGTATAGAGCTGAATGTAAGAGGCTAAAGCTCTGATAGTGGGGAGCAGAGAGATTTGAGTGGGTTGATCCCTGGACTGGGCGCAGCAGCCAAATTCATCGGCTCACTGGACACCTAGAAGAAATCAGCAGGTGGCTTCCAGTCGCCATAGAAACACTGGATGGGTCCAGGCTACTCCGGGCCCAATTACTGAGCTGTGAGCCTGGATGGTCAGATTCATCGGAAAGTGGACAGTGGGGCAATAGTGTCTGTGCAGTGAGCACAGGATTTCATATACAGTATGCATTGCATCGCACCAAGGAGGAAGTCAACTGAGGAATAGGCTCGACAAAGTGGAAAAAGCAGCAACATTTTAGCAGAGAGCAGCCGTCGCCTTCATTTGATTTTCTCCAACTCTTCTTCGTTTCACACTTGTGCTCTGCAAGACTGAGCTTCGCCTCCTCTTCTGCCTAGAAGCTGAATAATTTGTTATGCATATAACTACAGGCTACACTTTAATTAGCAATCAGACTCCTTTAATTACACTCGGCGACGCCTCCTTAATTAATGGACAATCAGGCCTTCATTATAAACAACACACTGCAAAGACACCGACGGGACAGAAGAGAGAGTTTGGGATAATAGCTGAGTTTACTTTGAAATGACCTAAACTGCTCTGGATATGAGTCCATCAGTAAAGGAGGAGGAGGAGTCCTAAAGCTCCAGCTGTTTCTCACTTCCTTCAGCTCAAATAAGGGAAGACGAATTTCTCTTCTATTAAGCAACCTTAAATAATTGAATACACTATATCTTATTGAAACCCATATTCTAATATCTTAAAAACCTTCAATTACGATAAAAAAATACTTAGTTCCATTGCTGGAAGAAAACACAAGAGTTAAAGTGTTTCTAAGCTCAGAAAACTTAAAAGAAACCAGGTCGTCTGCGTATGTCGCAATGAACGCGACATACGCCCCTTCCGCAGACACTCTGGTGCACCGCTTCAAAATTGTAGGTGACCACAGACAGCGCCTCTGATTGGTCAAAAGTACACATTGCAAAAAAATTCAATCTTAATAAGTAATTCTTTCTTAAAATAAGTGAAATTTTTCTTGAATTGAGGAGTTCAGTGAGACACTTTGCCAATGGAACAAGATTATTTACATTTAAAACAAGAAAAAAACAATTGCATTAACTTATTTCAAGTGAATTTTATCTAATTGTCTTATTTTAAGAGTAAAAATACTCATTCCATTGGCAAATCCTCTTACTTACCTACACAAATTAAGGGTAAATACACTTAATTTAAAAAATTTGTACTTATTTCTAGATCGTTTTTGCAGTACATCTGCTCTACTCTATACGTATTTCCGGTTTGGTTCCTTACCGGCTTGTTTTGGTAGTCTGACCGCCATTGTGGAAAACGACACATGAAGATGGACCCTTTTTCCACCTGGATCCCCGCTCTTTTTGGCCCTCATGTCCCTCTGTTGTCGCACAAACTTGCCCCCACTTCCTCACCGCCGTATCTAGACCCACAGCTAGTTCCCCTCTTGGCCCTCTTGCGTTGTGGCGTGGAACAACATAACGCCGCCGTTGTTTATAGATGCTGGAGATCGGCCTGTTTTCCAGAGTAGTCCTGTTTCTCTGACTGTGACTAACTGGATGTGCTCTATTCGTCCTCTGACATGGGAGCTGGCTCGGAGCTCGTCTGCCTGGCTGTGTTTCCTGGACAGCGCCGCCTTTTACAGCTGCTTTTTGTGTCTCTGCTTCTGTCTCCTTGAACCCTAGCAACCTCAGCAGATGGCCGCTCACACTGAGCCTGGTTCTGCTGGAGGTTTCTTCCTGTTAAAAGGGAGTTTTTCCTCTCCACTGTCGCTTCAAGCATGCTTAGTGTGAGGGATTGTATTTGAGTCAATGAGTCGATGCAATCAACTTTTTTTCCTTAGATAGAAAACTTTGTATCAATCTGACTGGATGATCTGGTTGAACTGTAAAGTGCCTTGAGATGACATGTGTTGTGAATTGGTGCTATATAAATAAACTGAATTGAATTGAATATCGGGCATAAATCCAAAATATCTGTCAACAGCTCACTGCGCCACACTGCTGCGGGAGGATAAACACCCCTTAAGGCTTGCATACATGGATCGTATGCGCTAACCACCAAAACACGCCCACATACCTTCATTTCTAAATATTAAACTGTAACAGCCGAAGGTTCAATTGGTTCAAGCGACCAACTATTTACGACCTCTCCTGTCACTACACATAATAAAAACTGATTTAGTATTTTGTTGTCAGTACAGGGGCCATAAAAGGGTCCAGAACGAGCTTTACAGGGCTACTGGCCCCCGTTGGAACCTGCTTAGAACCTCCCATGTGCATTAAAAATATTTCACAAACTTTCTAAAAATAGTAGCACAGGGTAAATAATGGTCCCTAAAAAAATACAAATCAGGTCAGCTCTATTAAAAAAAGGCAACAATGCACTAAGAGACAACAATAAAGAATAATCAACTTCATTTTTGCTGCATTTGCATTTAAATCCTCTGCATTAAACCCAGGGAGGAGAAGGAAGCTTGCAGCGCCTCTGGAGTGATCTGCACTGCAAAAAATCTAAATCTAGATAAGTAATTTTTTCTTAAAATAAGTGCATTTGTTCTTGATTTGAGGAGGTAAAAGAGACATTTTTCCAATGGAACAAGACAATTTACACTTAAAATAAGAAAACACAATTGCATTGTCTTATTTCAAGTGCATATTATCTAATTCTCTTATTTTAAGAGTAAAATTACTCATTCGATTGGCAAAATATATCATTTACCTACTCAAATAAAGGGTGAATACACTTAATGTAAGAATTTTTTACTTATTTCTAGATCATTTTTGCAGTGTACGTCTTACTTTCTTCTTCTGCTCTAACCAAACACTGCAAAAACGATCTAAAAATTAGTAAAAATGTCTTAAACTAAGTGTATTTACCCTTAATTTGAGCAGCTAAATGAGATAGTTTGCCAACGGAATGACCAATTTTACTCTTAAAATCAGATATTTAGAAAATATGCATTTGAAATAAGACAATGCAATTGTGTTTTCTAATTTTAAGTGTAAATTGTCTTGTTCCATTGGCAAAATGTCTCCTTTACCTCCTCAATCCAAGAACAAATGCACTTATTCTAAGAAAAAATGACTTTTTCCAGTGAAGGGCCACCGCTAACACTTCATATAATACTTCTGGGCACTGCAGTGGCTTACAGAAGATGTTTTGCTAAATAAAACACAACCTCCAATGCAGCTGTGAACTTCACTGCTGCATATTTTGGAATGAAAAACGATCCCTGCTTTACTTCTTTTATTTCTAGGCATTAATATTAAACAAAATAAAATCTACTTTTTTTTTGTTTGTTTTGTTTTTCACATTACAACGGATTTCATCAGCAGCGGCGCAGGAAGGTTTGGTGGGATGGACTGTTCACACTCACAGAGATAACATCAGTGTTTAAGGGACTCATCTCCACGACGTTGGCTTCGTAAGGCTCGTCTCGCCACAGCGGGGCGTTGTCATTGATGTCAAGGATGGTGATGTTCACCTAAGATAAAGACAAAAGGAATCATTAATGAATTAATATTAATGCGTACTAAGGATGAAATTAATTACAGTGACATCAATAACAAAGTTATTTTTGTCCAAAATAGGACCTGGATGGAAATGTTAACATTTTAGGCCTCTAAGGCCATTTATTTTAATCTGATTTCTACACACCTCACCACCAATGACATTGCACATGTGGAAAGGCATTGAATGCATCACAGGTTACATTATTATAGATGTAAAATACCCCATGGACCCCTTGTGGCCAGATGCACTGATCAGGATCTATCTATGCCTGCTTTGAGGATCCCAGCAGCAGCAGACTCCTTTATCCCTGTTGCAATATTTATCATACACTGAAAAAAATAATGCAACCGCTTTTGGCATTTACTTAATCATATTTAGATACTTTAATTCAATTGTTTTATGTCCTACCCAGCTAGCATGAAACTATCGTGTTAAAGTAACTGAATATAATTAAGTTAATGCAAAAAACAGTTGCATTACTTTTTTTAGTGTAATAATTAGGATTTTGAATTAAAATAGGATTTAATCCTTAAAAAAATGTTTTTTACTTTTTTTTTTGCTTTTTTTTATTGGGGCTTAAATATATTCAAAGAATATAGTGAAATGCATTACTTTGGGATGTTTATTCACTCTCCTTTCTGTATCTGGTGCACTGAAGAAGAATATTTTAAATTTATACATTTCTTTTCAGGACCATTATTTGTGACAGTGGGGAATGGATTGATGTTGCAGGTGGAAAGAGTGCTAAAAAATTGTAATCGAGTAAAAGTATCTTTACTTTGCCTAAATTTTACTCATAGTAAAAGTAAAATTACCCATCTCAAAATTTACTCAAGTAAAAGTACAAAATTACTTCATTCAAAATGTAATTTGAGTAAAAGTTACTTAATTACTTTGAGTTATTTAATGCAAAAAAAGGATGAGTCATGAATCGAATTTAGCACAAGATGTTTTAATCGATTTCAAGGTAAAAGTAAAATTACCCATCTCAAAATTGACTCAAGTAAAAGTACAAAATTACTTCATTTAAAATGTAATTTGAGTAAAAGTTACTTAGTTACTTTGAGTTATTTAATGCAAAAAAGGATGAGTCATGAATCGAATTTAGCACAAGGTGTTTTAATCGATTTCAAGGTAAAAGTAAAATTACCCATCTCAAAATTTACTCAAGTAAAAGTACAAAATTACTTCATTTAAAATGTAATTTGAGTAAAAGTTACTTAATTACTTTGAGTTATTTAATGCAAAAAAGGATGAGTCATGAATCGAATTGATCACAAGATGTTTTAATCGATTTCAAGATAAAAGTAAAATTACCCATCTCAAAATTTACTCAAGTAAAAGTACAAAATTACTTCATTTAAAATGTAATTTGGGTAAAAATTACTTAGTTACTTTGAGTTATTTAATGCAAAAAAGGATGAGTCATGAATCGAATTGAGCACAAGATGTTTTAATCGATTTCAAGATAAAAGTAAAATTACCCATCTCAAAATTTACTCAAGTAAAAGTACAAAATTACTTCATTTAAAATGTAATTTGAGTAAAAGTTACTTAGTTACTTTGAGTTATTTAATGCAAAAAAGTATGAGTCATGAATCGAATTTAGCACAAGGTGTTTTAATCGATTTCAAGGTAAAAGCAAAATTACCCATCTCAAAATGTACTCAAGTAAAAGTACAAAATTACTTCATTTAAAATGTAATTTGAGTAAAAGTTACTTAATTACTTTGAGTTATTTAATGCAAAAAAGGATGAGTCATGAATCGAATTGATCACAAGATGTTTTAATCGATTTCAAGGTAAAAGTAAAATTACCCATCTCAAAATTTACTCAAGTAAAAGTACAAAATTACTTCATTTAAAATGTAATTTGAGTAAAAATTACTTAGTTACTTTGAGTTATTTAATGCAAAAAAGGATGAGTCATGAATCGAATTGAGCACAAGATGTTTTAATCGATTTCAAGATAAAAGTAAAATTACCCATCTCAAAATTTACTCAAGTAAAAGTACAAAATTACTTCATTTAAAATGTAATTTGAGTAAAAGTTACTTAGTTACTTTGAGTTATTTAATGCAAAAAAGTATGAGTCATGAATCGAATTTAGCACAAGGTGTTTTAATCGATTTCAAGGTAAAAGCAAAATTACCCATCTCAAAATTTACTCAAGTAAAAGTACAAAATTACTTCATTTAAAATGTAATTTGAGTAAAAGTTACTTAATTACTTTGAGTTATTTAATGCAAAAAAAGGATGAGTCATGAATCGAATTGATCACAAGATGTTTTAATCGATTTCAAGGTAAAAGTAAAATTACCCATCTCAAAATTTACTCAAGTAAAAGTACAAAATTACTTCATTTAAAATGTAATTTGAGTAAAAGTTACTTAGTTACTTTGAATTATTTAATGCAAAAAAGGATGAGTCATGAATCGAATTGAGCACAAGATGTTTTAATCGATTTCAAGGTAAAAGTAAAATTACCCATCTCAAAATTTACTCAAGTAAAAGTACAAAATTACTTCATTTAAAATGTAATTTGAGTAAAAGTTACTTAGTTACTTTGAGTTATTTAATGCAAAAAAGGATGAGTCATGAATCGAATTTAGCACAAGATGTTTTAATCGATTTCAAGGTAAAAGTAAAATTACCCATCTCAAAATTTACTCAAGTAAAAGTACAAAATTACCTTCATTTAAAATGTAATTTGAGTAAAAGTTACTTAGTTACTTTGAGTTATTTAATGCAAAAAAGTATGAGTCATGAATCGAATTTAGCACAAGGTGTTTTAATCGATTTCAAGGTAAAAGCAAAATTACCCATCTCAAAATTTACTCAAGTAAAAGTACAAAATTACTTCATTTAAAATGTAATTTGAGTAAAAGTTACTTAGTTACTTTGAGTTATTTAATGCAAAAAAGGATGAGTCATGAATCGAATTTAGCACAAGATGTTTTAATCGATTTCAAGGTAAAAGTAAAATTACCCATCTCAAAATTTACTCAAGTTAAAGTACAAAATTACCTCATTTAAAATATAATTTGAGTAAAAGTTACTAAATTACTTTGAGTTATTTAATGCAAAAAAGGATGAGTCATGAATCGAATTGATCACAAGATGTTCTAATCGATTTCAAGGTAAAAGTAAAATTATCCATCTCAAAATTTACTCAAGTAAAAGTACAAAATTACTTAATTTAAAATGTAAATTGGGTAAAAGTTACTTCGTTACTTTGAGTTATTTAATGCAAAAAAAGGATGAGTCATGAATCGAATTGATCACAAGATGTTTTAATCGATTTCAAGGTAAAAGTAAAATTACCCATCTCAAAATTTACTCAAGTTAAAGTACAAAATTACCTCATTTAAAATGTAATTTGAGTAAAAGTTACTAAATTACTTTGAGTTATTTAATGCAAAAAAGGATGAGTCATGAATCGAATTGATCACAAGATGTTCTAATCGATTTCAAGGTAAAAGTAAAATTACCCATCTCAAAATTTACTCAAGTTAAAGTACAAAATTACCTCATTTAAAATGTAATTTGAGTAAAAGTTACTTAATTACTTTGAGTTATTTAATGCAAAAAAAGGATGAGTCATGAATCGAATTGATCACAAGATGTTTTAATCGATTTCGAGGTAAAAGTAAAATTACCCATCTCAAAATTTACTCAAGTTAAAGTACAAAATTACCTCATTTAAAATGTAATTTGAGTAAAAGTTACTTAATTACTTTGAGTTATTTAATGCAAAAAAGGATGAGTCATGAATCGAATTGATCACAAGATGTTCTAATCGATTTCAAGGTAAAAGTAAAATTATCCATCTCAAAATTTACTCAAGTAAAAGTACAAAATTACTTCATTTAAAATATAATTTGGGTAAAAGTTACTTAGTTACTTTGAGTTATTTAATGCAAAAAAGGATGAGTCATGAATCGAATTGATCACAAGATGTTTTAATCGATTTCAAGGTAAAAGTAAAATTACCCATCTCAAAATTTACTCAAGTAAAAGTACAAAATTACTTCATTTAAAATGTAATTTGGGTAAAAATTACTTAGTTACTTTGAGTTATTTAATGCAAAAAAAGTATGAGTCATGAATCGAATTGAGCACAAGATGTTTTAATCGATTTCAAGGTAAAAGTAAAATTACCCATCTCAAAATTTACTCAAGTAAAAGTACAAAATTACTTCATTTAAAATGTAATTTGAGTAAAAGTTACTAAATTACTTTGAGTTATTTAATGCAAAAAAGGATGAGTCATGAATCGAATTTAGCACAAGGTGTTTTAATCGATTTCAAGGTAAAAGTAAAATTACCCATCTCAAAATTTACTCAAGTAAAAGTACAAAATTACCTCATTTAAAATGTAATTTGAGTAAAAGTTACTAAATTACTTTGAGTTATTTAATGCAAAAAAGGATGAGTCATGAATCGAATTGATCACAAGATGTTCTAATCGATTTCAAGGTAAAAGTAAAATTATCCATCTCAAAATTTACTCAAGTAAAAGTACAAAATTACTTCATTTAAAATCTAATTTGAGTAAAAGTTACTTAATTACTTTGAGTTATTTAATGCAAAAAAAGGATGAGTCATGAATCGAATTGATCACAAGATGTTTTAATCGATTTCAAGGTAAAAGTAAAATTACCCATCTCAAAATTTACTCAAGTTAAAGTACAAAATTACCTCATTTAAAATGTAATTTGAGTAAAAGTTACTAAATTACTTTGAGTTATTTAATGCAAAAAAGGATGAGTCATGAATCGAATTGATCACAAGATGTTCTAATCAATTTCAAGGTAAAAGTAAAATTATCCATCTCAAAATTTACTCAAGTAAAAGTACAAAATTACTTCATTTAAAATGTAATTTGGGTAAAAGTTACTTAGTTACTTTGAGTTATTTAATGCAAAAAAAGTATGAGTCATGAATCGAATTGAGCACAAGATGTTTTAATCGATTTCAAGGTAAAAGTAAAATTACTCATCTCAAAATTTACTCAAGTAAAAGTACAAAATTACTTCATTTAAAATGTAATTTGAGTAAAAGTTACTTAGTTACTTTGAGTTATTTAATGCAAAAAAGGATGAGTCATGAATCGAATTTAGCACAAGATGTTTTAATCGATTTCAAGGTAAAAGTAAAATTACCCATCTCAAAATTTACTCAAGTAAAAGTACAAAATTACTTCATTTAAAATGTAATTTGAGTAAAAGTTACTTAGTTACTTTGAGTTATTTAATGCAAAAAAGGATGAGTCATGAATCGAATTGAGCACAAGGTGTTTTAATCGATTTCAAGGCGTATTTCAGTGGAAATCCACACTTGCAAAAGATCAGCTGGGCTAAAGAACATATTTCCTCACAGCACAAGGACAGTCACCTTAACCTGTACCTTAAAGTGCAAACAATTTCCAATCCTACTAACCAACAGACAACACCATGATAGGAATAAAGAAATTTAAACTGTGTTTTAAAGTTTTTCAAAATGCACACAAAATTAAATGCCCAAAAGATGCCACAAATCAAACTAAAAGGCAACAGGATGCCACTGTTATTAACAAGCTCCTCATTTAATCATTTTAACTGACACTTGTTTTTACATCAATTGCTTATATGCTTGAATTGTGTAAATAAAGTGCTGTTAAAAGTCAAAAGTCTTCTTCTATTTTTTAATGGCGATTAAGTGTTGGTTCCGTAACACAGGGGCTTAAATTAGTATTTAATTTGATTTTGTTTTACTCAATAAAGTGAGGGGGTTTTAAATGTAGCAAAGTAAAGCTACTTAGGTAAAAATTTACTCTAGTAAAAGTAAAAATTACATATTTTAAAAAACTACTCAGAAAGTTACAAATTACTCATAAAAAGTACTCAATTACAGTAACTTGAGTAAATGTCATTCGTTACTTTCCACCCCTGTGTTGCATGCATTAACAGCCAAACAGCGACCTAAAACCGACTTCAAAGAAGGAAGGGAGAGTTTTTAACCATCACAACAAAATATCATTGTCACAGTCTTGGTTTGTTAGTTCCTGTTTTTCTTGGTTTTCCATTTGTTGTCCTCTGCTGCCCTCTTGTGTCCTCTTTCCCTTGCTCTGTTTTCTGTACTGCCCTCACCTGTTTTCAATCCTCTCGTTAGCCCTCTCTTTGTCTCTGTCCCCTTTAAAAGCCCTCCCTCTTCAGTTCTGTTTGCTGGATCCTCGTCTAACATCCTTCCTCGTCTCTCCCTGGCTCCTAGAGTTTTTGGTTTACCCCTGATGTCTCCTTGGTTCTGGTACGTTTGTTATTTTCTGTTGGATTTTGATTCCTGCCCCTGTTCCTTTAAACCTTAATAAACCCACTTAATTCACCTCTGCCTACTGGTCTCTGCATTTGGGTCCTCCAAACAAACACCGCTTCATGACAATCGTGAGAAGATTTTAAGTCCGTGTCGCCCGGCTCTACCCTCAACGATCTTCTCCAAAAGATGTTCCATTTTTCCAAATTGTGTTTATAATAGTACGTGTCTTTGTCATTTTGAAACTGGTTTTAACATTTTAATATAAATTGTTTGCTGTGGCGTAATATAGAAGGGTTCATTACATTCTTAATTCCAATATTTTGTAGAATATTCACATACATGATGAGTGTATCGTGATTTAAGATTCTTTTTTACCAATATGGTTAAAACAAACAGTACAGTAGTAGCCATTGATGGGTCCTTGGCTGGTCCCCTACAATTCCTTTTTAAACATCTAAAATATTCTTTCTCTCATGATTTGTGGACATTAAGAGAAGCGTTATCTCCTTGTTAGACCCTGTAATTCAGTGAAAGGGTGGTGAAAAATATGCACGCCCATGAGAAGGAAATTTGCTGGAAGTTGGAGGGGATTTTGCTGCCATTCGGCTGGTTTTTGACTGGGAAGGGCCATTATGAACGACTGCTACTGTAAGACTTTAAGACAAGCTGTTCAGTTAAACGATGACTTTAAAGTTTTTACGGTGGCAATGCCAGTCTTCTGCTGAGGGCCAACTCCTCCATCCACAGCTCTCACTATCAGGATGTACTCCGACTTCTGCTCTCTGTCCAGCAGGGCTGTGGTTGTGAGTTCGCCTGAAACAGAGATGAAGAAATTTACAGCATTACAGTTTATCAGCGGCAGAACATTTCAGAAAGAACTGAAAAAAAACACGATCAGGGTTTTCACAGCCACTGCTCAACTATCAACCAACTAAACAGTTTGAGAAAAAGCTGATTTAAACAGACTCCAGCAGGTTGAAAAGCTGTAAACGTCTTATTCTGACTGGTTAACGAACCTGAGCGTGAATTCAGGCGAAACTGAGAGGAGCCTTCCAGGGAGTAGATGAGGGAAGCCTGGCCAAACTCCCGCGAGGCGTCCAAGTCCGTTGCATTTACAACCAGTACAGTTGCCCCTTTTTTTATGACAGAGAGAGAGACACAAACATAAAGAAAGTTGCCAATTACTGTTTGTTGAGAGCATTTAAAAGAAGAAAATCAGAGGCAGACTGGCTGCAGTGACACTTGCAAAGCTTATTTCTTTCCATAGTGACACTGATGGCATAGCAGTGAGTGGGTTTATGGATTAGTGGATTATTAGACTGTTACTTGGCATCGAACTGATCAATACCAAGGCTGCTATGGGGATGAGATGCTTGCCAGAGCCGCAGGGCTAGCCCTAAGCTGTGTCTAGAAGCTGCAGCCTTAGGCCTCCACCTGAGGGCCAAATACTGCTCTAACCCTCAGCGTTCCTTCTAAAAGAGGTGCTCTATTAAACAGTGTGTGGAACATAAAGAATGGCGAGCTTCTTCTGCAGCTAAAAGAGAGAAAGGGGCAGTCAGATATCCCATTTTCCTCTGGTGACTGGAAACTAATCTATTGTCTGGGAAGAAAAGAGGCTTCACATGCATGAGAATGAATACAGCAGCTCACGATTTCCCTGGAGGAACCAACATCCTACATTCTGAGTGAGCATCTCAAAACAGTGTTGGAGCGCAGGTTAAAGCATGCACACATATTACAACGTGACACACGTAAAGATGCAGAAAAGAATTCCCAAAAGCACATATATATTGTTTGAATATGCAGATTTGCAGCATAATTATCACAGCATGTAAGGGACGTGTTTGCTGTATAAACCATAAAATCTAAAAGATTTGCATCTATGTAGAGATGCAGTGTGAATGATGTAAGCTGATCTGGTCTTACTGCATTAACAGCAGTTTAAAGGAATAGTACACCCAAAACATGATTAGCCTTCATTTTCTACTCACCTCCATGCTGAACAACACTCTGGAGTACTTTTTTGATATCTCAAATGCATCTGGAGATCTGGGAGGCTTCTTGCTGTCTGCTGACATTCAAATAATGGAGGTCTATGGCGCCCGAGGCAGAAAGGTCCATAAAAGTCCACAAAAAACGTGTCAATATTCCTCCATACTGCTCGTCCAATGTATTCCAAGTGTCCTGAGTGGGTAGCGTCCATAATTTACTCGAAACGAAGTCATTTAGAATGTTTTTAGAGCATAAACAGTAGTGTATAGGATTTCCTGAAAGCGCGCACCTGCGCGATCACGACGCTACAGAAACCGCGGCAGACCAAACCAGATGAAAGTGCGCATTCAGCTCGGCAAAGAACTCATGCTCTTCCTCAACACTGAAGTCCTCAGACATTTTTCTTTCGTTGTTTCTTTCTTTGCACAGATAAACAGCACATTTCTTCTTCTACGCTTGCATTATCGGCAGAGCAGACGCTGAATGCGCACTTTCATCTGGTTTGGTCTGCCGCGGTTTCCGTAGACTCGTGAACGCGCTTTTAGGAAATCCTATACACTACTGTTTATGCTCTAAAAACATTCTAAATGACTTCGTTTCGAGTAAATTATGGACGCTACCCACTCAGGACACTTGGAATACATTGGACGAGCAGTATGGAGGAATATTGACACGTTTTTGTGGACTTTTATGGACCTTTCTGCCTCGGGCGCCATAGACCTCCATTATTTGAATGTCAGCAGACAGCAAGAAGCCTCCCAGATCTCCAGATGCATTTGAGATATCAAAAAAGTACTCCAGAGTGTTGTTCAGCATGGGGGTGAGTAGAAAATGAAGGCTAATCATGTTTTGGGTGTACTATTCCTTTAAAAAGGGCTAAATACTACAGACTGACACCACACTGCAAAAACCATCTAAAAATGAGAAAAAATGTCTTAAATTAAGTGTATTTACCAGTAATTTTAGTAGGTTAATAAGATAATTTGCCAATGGAATGAGTATTTTTTAGTCTTAAAGTAAGATAGTTAGATAATATTCACTTGAAATAAGACAATGCAATTGTGTTTTCTTATTTTAAATGTAAATTGTCTTGTTCCATTGGCAAAGTGTCTCACACTACCAAACGCAGAAAGAAAATATGTTTTATCACATTAGCACCATAACTACATTAAAACTCCTACCTGCATTAAGGTTCTCTGGGATTTTAACGATGTAAGAAGGTTTGCTGAACTCAGGCGGATTATCATTTTCATCCTGTGGAAAAAATAAACATTAAGAAGTTTGTTTGGACGTAATGAACAAGAGGAAACAGCCAATGAAATAACAATCTTAAGAAAGGTGAAACCTTTGACAGGAAGTAGGGTGGGGGCTACACATGCTAGTTCCTGGAAGTGAGAGTGAAGGGGTCCTTAGTGGCTTTTATTGATACACTGGAAAAAATCTAAATCTAGATAAGTAGTTTTTTTCTTAAAATAAGTGCATTTGTTTTTGAATTAAGGAAGTAAAGGTGACATCTTGCCAATGGAATGAGACAATTTACACTTAAAATAAGAAAACACAATTGCATTGTCTTATTTCAAGTGCATATTATCTAATTATCTTATTTTAAGAGTAGAAATTTCCATTCCATTGGCAAACTATCTCATATACCTACTCAAATTAAGGGTAAATACACTTAATTTAAGAAACTTTTACTTATTTCTAGATTGTTTTTCCAGTGTATCTGTGTCCTTATCTACACTGGAAAAACGATCTAGAAATTAGTAAAAATGTAAACCAGTTTCAATCAGACTTCAGCTGTCAGACACACAAGGTCTCATTCGACACTAGCGTACCTTAGCATTCAGGCCTATTATAGGCCTTTAAAGGTGGAAAAACAATCTAGAAATAAGTGAAAATTCCTTAAATTAATTGTATTTTCTCTAATTTGAGTAGGTAAATGAGACAATTTGCCAATAGGATGAGTATATTCACTCTTAGAATAAGATAATTAGATAATATGCACTTGAAACAAGACAGAGCAATTGTATTTTTCTTGTTTTAAATGGTAATTGTCTTGTTTCATTGGCAAAATGTCTCACTTTCCTCCTCAATTCAGGAAAAAATGCACTTATATTAGGAAAAAATGACTTATGTAGATTTACATTTTTTGCAGTGTAGAAAAGTTCTATATGGATGTCGAACTAATGCGTTCTGTGATCATTTGAAACAGAAAACAGCCCATACCTGATTGCTAATACAGGTGCTGGTCATAAAATTAGAATATCATGAAAAAGTAGATTGATTTCAGTAATTCCATTTAAAAAGTGAAACTTGTATATTATATTCATACATTACATACAAACTCATATATTTCAGATGTTTATTTTGTTTAATTTTGATGATTACAAATGACAACAAATGAAAATCTCAAATTCATCATATCAGAAAATTAGAATATTACTGAAGACCAATAAAAACAAAGGATTTATAGAAATGTTGGCCAACTGAAAAGTATGAACATGAAAAGTATGAGCATGTACAGCACTCAGTATTTAGTTGGGCCTCCTTTGGCCTGTATTACTGCAGCAATGCGGCGTGGCATGGAGTCGATCAGTCTGTGGCACTGCTCAGGTGTTATGATAGCCCAGGTTGCTCTAATAGTGGCTTTTAGCTCTTCTGAATTGTTGGGTCTGGTGTATTGCATCTTCTTCTTCACAATACCCCATAGATTTTCTATGGGGTTAAGGTCAGGAGAGTTTGCTGGCCAATTAAGAACAGGGATACCATGGTCCTTCAACCAGGTACTGGTAGCTTTGGCACTGTGTGCAGGTGCCAAGTCCTGTTGGAAAATGAAATCTGCATCTCCAAAAAGTTGGTCAGCTGCAGGAAGCATGAAGTGCTCTAAAACTTCCTGGTATGTGGCTGCGTTGACCCTGGACCTCAGAAAACACAATGGACCAACACCAGCAGATGACATGGCACCCCAAACCATCACTGACTGTGGAAACTTTACACTGGACTTCAAGCAACGTGGATGAAGTGCCTCTCTTCTTTTCCTCCAGACTCTGGGACCTTGATTTCCAAAGGAAATGCAAAATTTACTTTCATCAGAGAACATGACTTTGGACCACTCACCAGCAGTCCAGTCCTGTTTCTCTTTAGCCCAGGCAAGACGCTTCTGACGCTGTCTGTGGTTCAAGAGTGGCTTGACACAAGGAATGCGACAGCAGAAACCCATGTCTTTCATACGTCTGTGTGTGGTGGTTCTTGAAGCACTCACTCCAGCTGCAGTCCACTCTTTGTGAATCTCCCCCACATTTTTGAATGGGTTTTGTTTCACAATCCTCTCCAGGGTGCGGTTATCTCTCTTGCTTGTACACTTTTTTCGACCACATCTTTTCCTTCCCTTCGCCTCTCTATTAATGTGCTTGGACACTGAGCTCTGTGAACAGCCAGCCTCTTTAGCGATGACCTTTTGTGTCTTGCCCTCCTTGTGCAAGGTGTCGATGGTCGTCTTTTGGACAACTGTCAAGTCAGCAGTCTTCCCCATGATTGTGTAGCCTATAGAACTAGACTGAAAGACCATTTAAAGGCTTTTGCAGGTGGTTTGAGTTAATTAGCTGATTAGAGTGTGGCACCAGGGGCCATCAATTTTGAACCTTTTCACAATATTCTAATTTTCTGATATGATGAATTTGAGATTTTCATTTGTTGTCATTTGTAATCATCAAAATTAAACAAAATAAACATCTGAAATATATGAGTTTGTATGTAATGTATGAATATAATATACAAGTTTCACTTTTTAAATGGAATTACTGAAATCAATCTACTTTTTCATGATATTCTAATTTTATGACCAGCACCTGTATATTAAATCAGCCACTGGGCCACATGCGGCCCTGGAGCTGAGGGTTGAAGGCATACAGCAGGATTAAACAGATCAAGTTATCATATCTCAATATGGCTGAAGCTAAATGGGCAGCATCTTTGTTTTTTAATAGTTGTTTGCAGGCCCAGGAGATTCAGCGTCTTGCCTGCCAAGAAATCTGTTGGTCGTGTTGATATGTGCTTGATAAGTTACACATAAGTTATGCGCAAGTTACTCATAGGTTTTGGATGAGCTAGACACCACACTGCAAAAAATCTAAATCTTGATAAGTAATTTTTTCTTAAAATAAGTGCATTTGTTCTTGAATTGAGGAGATAAAAGAGACATCTTGCCAATGGAACAAGACAATTTAAATTTAAAATAAGAAAACACAAATGCATTGTCTTATTTCAAGTAAATATTATCTAATTATATTATTTTAAGAGTAAAAATACTAATTCCATTGGCAGACTATCTCATTAATCTGCTCAAATCAAGGGTGAATACACTTAATTTAAGAAATTTTTACTTATTTCTAGATTATTTTTCCAGTGTACAACTTATGTGTAACTTACACTTAACGTCAACAATCAGCCCTTTGAGGCTTGACTTCAACTTCTGGAAAACTGTCTAGAGACTACTGAGGTAGCTGTGGATTATTATTACTATTGAAATGACTGGACTTAAGCTTTAAATGACCTTCAATGTGGTTGGATGTCATCTTACACTTGAAAAACGATCTAGAAATAAGTAAAACATTTCTTAAATTAAGTGTATTTACCCTTGATTTGAGTAGGTAAATGAGATAGTTTGCCAATGGAATCAGTATTTTTACTCTTAAAATAAGATAATTAGATAATAGTCACTTTAAATTAGACAATGAAATTGTCTTTTCTTATTTTAAGTGGAGCTTATCTTGTTCCATTGGCAAAATGTCTCTTTTATCTCCTCAATTCAAGAACAAATCCACTTATTCTAAGAAAAAGATTTTGATTTTTTTTGCAGTGTACAGACCAACTGAGTGGCTTGTTCACCACAGGAAAGTTTGGAAAAAGAGCTTCTGAATCGCTGCCCTGAAAAGAGTTAGAAGTGTCTAGGATATCTGATTTAGATGTGACCTGGAGGAATCTTTCTAGAGGTTTTTTGGCCTTCCAGACAACCCAGGACAATATATTAGTTTGTCCGGGGGGGGGCACACCGAAATCCACTCAAAGGAGCTGCAGAGTATCTCTGCTGAAAAAGATGTATAGCCCTGTAACCTCCGCATTCTGATCTTGGATAAGCAGGAGAGGATCGATAGATGTTCTTTGAAAAGCAATAACTCTGAACAGTGTAAATATGACAAGAACTTGGAACAACAGCTGCTTTCAAACAGATTCAGTAAGAGCATTTAAATTTCTCACAGCCTCCCACTCCTGAATAAGACTCCAATTCACACCAACATTTCCAGTTCTCTGGCTATTCACAGAGAAGATCCCCAATGCGTGAGCTGCTGAGAAATGTTAACACTTTAACAACAGTCACTAGGACAATTATCTATTTGGGCTCCGAGTTACACTGGTGCAAAGCATTGTGCGAGTGAGATGCTGCCAGCTGCTGATAAACCCCTGTGGTGTGAGTCACGACAGAGAGAGGCAGAGGCAGAGAGACATAGGGGCAACGCTCAATTGTCAGCATCTATCCCGTCTGGTTTTTCTCCCTCATGCAAGATGTGTATAGAAATAGCTATAGTCCATGCATATCAAAGAATATTCATCCATTCTTCTCTGCCGTTTCATGAATAAAAAGTTGGACGTATAATGGATGTCTTCTGTGGGAATTGAGACTGGAAGGCTGACGACTACCGGCTTCGTCGCCTCATCGGGCTTTAATGACTGCATTTATATATTCTTAACAAAGGTCAGTTTACCAGTTTTGAATTTTAAATAGAAAAAAATAAAGAAAGACAAAACATTTTGAATATTATATCAGAGAAATGATGAGTCAGAAGGGGAAACTGCACAGCAAAAACGATCTAGAAATAAGTAAAAATGTCTTAAATTAAGTGTATTTATCCTTAATTTGAGAAGGTAAATGAGATAATTTGCCAATGGAATGAGAATTTTTACTCTTAAAATAAGATAAGTAGATAATATGCAGTTAAAATAAGGCAATGTAGTTGTGTTTTCTTATTTTAAGTGTAAAATGTCTTGTTCCATTGGCAAAATGTCTCTTTAACCTCCTCAATCCAAGAAAAATTTACTTATTTTAAGAAAAAATTACTCATCTAGATTTCGTTTTTTTTGCAGTGTGAGAGGTTGATGTGTAGTTGAAAAAATACTGTTCCAATAAAAACCATACATACTCTTATTAATGGTGTTAAAATACTAATTTATGGCTTATAAGGATTAATTAACAACACGCTGGTGAAGATTCTAACTCATCCAGGTAGTGGTCATTCCAAAAAAGTTAAAGACACAATCCATTCGACTTTGTTTCCAAGTTAACCAAATAATTAAGGGGAGATACGCTTGTATATATTTAGACTCGAAAGTAAAATTCTAACTTTTTGTGGGTTTCATTTTTTTATTCCAAAACAGTAAAATAAACAATCCACTGGACTTTGTTTCCAAGTTTGAAGACATTTCTCTTCCCATCCAGGAAGCTTTTTCAATTCAAAATGTCAGAAATAGCGTTGAGTTTGTGGCTTTTTAGAGTGGACCAAAACAAAAACCTTGTTTTGGCTTAGAAAACATGCAAATTGAACCAGACAAACATGTTCACTCATTAGGAATGGGGGTTGTTTGGCTTCTTTGTTAGCCTGTAATGCCCCATACCTGTCTATGTCTCTGAAAGGGGGGGTGGTTAACTGTCGGGTTCATAAAATGTAGGTTTTTTGAAAAAGGAAGAACTGAAATACACAATTACGGATACAATTTCTGCAGAAAGGAGAGACAGTTGAATCCCAGACTCAAACACACTGTCTCCCAGGGACCTCCTCCGCAGAGCGTTTATTAACAGAACATGAAACATGGTTACAAACAGAGTATTGTTCTGACAGAACAATTGATCAGTTCATGAAGACAGGATGCTCCATCAGAATGACAAGGCAGGATGGTCTCCCGACTGAATCATGAGACAGGAGAGGAGCATCCCCTTGCACAAATGTTTCATAAACACACATTCATTTTATAATCATCTTTGAATAAACATAACATTAACGATGGGGCATTACAGGCTAACAAAAAAGTCAAACGACCCCCATTACAAAGGGATGGCCCATTTTTCTAAACAAAAACAAGGCTTTGCAGGGCTCCTGTATAAAGCCTGTGTTGGGATCTGGAGGTCTGTCCACCTTTCTCCAGCAGAGGGCGTCCTAGGTCTCCTGGAGCTGAAGCTGACCTTCAGCTCATTTGCTCATCAGGAGACCAGCATTTAAGCAGCGGCAGAGCAACACTCCAGTGCCAGAGTGTTAAGCCAGTTATGGTTAGCAAACCTTAGCTGACCTGCCTGTCTGATTCTCTGACTCCCCTGAAACCTGAACCAGAACCTAACCTGTTTTTGTCCTCTCTGCTTCCAAGGAAGAATCTGTCTGAACCCAGAAACTCTGGAAGAGTTTCTCAGTCTAAAACAAGCCTGTCTGATCTCCGAAGAACCCTGGAGAGTCAATCTGTCAGTAACCTGCCTGCCCGCTCTCAGAAGAAACTGGAAGAGAGACTCAGATCAGAAACTGCAAGATCAGAAATCAAGCTCTGCCTCTGCCTGCCTTCAGCCTCTGGACCCTCCTGGTTCCCCTCCTCTGCCGCTCAGCCTGAATCTCTGAACAGGTACAGACCTGCACTCATTCAACCTGCAAACATACCTGGATATCTGCTAACCACTCTGTCCTCCTCTGCAGAGAAACCAGTCGTGACCAGTCCTGAATCTGATAACCTCCTGACCTGTTAATTCAATAAACCTTTGAACTTTTTCTCCTGTTTCCGAGTGTTTCTGCATGTGGGTTAGGAACCTAAAACAAAACATGACAGCCTGGAACCCAACGCTATTTCTGACATTTTCAATTGAAAAAGCTTCCTGGATGGGAAGCGAAACATCTTTAAACTTGGAAACAAAGTCCAATGGATTGTTTCTTTTACTGTTTTGGAATAAAAAAATGCAACCCACAAAAAGTTAGAATTTTACTTTCGAGTCTAAATATATACAACCGCATCTCCCCTTAATTATTTGGTTAAAAATTCACACACAAATTTTCCTGGTGGAAAATTCAGCTGCAGGTCTTATTTCATTCAACTACAAGGTTGCACTTACTATAACTTCCACTGTGACGGGGACGGTGCTGTTAAGCGCTGGGTTTCCCCCATCTTTGGCCATCACTGTCAAATAGATCATCCCCTTGGGAACCATCTCATAGTCCAGAGGCCTGTTAACACTTATAACTGGGGCAGAAGGAGAAAAAGAGAAAAGTCATTCAAACCCGTTATTTCTTTTTAAAGATTTCATTACTCCTACTACACTTTACAACAAAGAAAAAAACAAACAAACTACTCCTTTGCTGCTTAAATTAAAGTTAAAACATTTTAGGTTGTTGTTCTTGTAAAACTTAAAGGAGAAGTCTGGTCCTATTCAGAATAGAAACTTCTGAAAGTACTTTAAATATACAATTATTACATACTGTTCAATAAATGATATGTGTTTTTAATTATAATGATGAAGATTCCCAGTCATCCAGGTCGTAGTCATTCCGTGAAAATTAAAAAAATATCTACTGGACTTAGTTTCTCCAGGAAGCTTTCTCAATTCAAATGTATATAACGACATTTGAATTGAGAGAGCTTCCTGGAGAGGGTGCGAAACGTCTTCAAATCTTGGAAACCAAGTCCAGTGGATATTTTTTTTAATTTTTACGGAGTGTTTTTAATTAAGAGTAATGTTCATTTGAATGTACTTTACAATAGGCAGCCATGTTTGTCAAAGAACACTACTGCCACCTACAGGTTTGTGACGTCATGGTGTGGTATCGGCTGTTGATCAAGTCCCAGTGATGTCAGAACATGCTATTATCCAAGTCACCTTTACAACATCCTTCTTCGAAATAGTGGCTATCCTCCCTCTTCAAGTTGAAAACCAACGATGAACCCGTCCATGGAGGTTCATGAACCCGAAAGTCTAAATAAGTCATTTTATTTTCACTTTTATACAATGTATTATAACATCCAGCTGCCATGCACGTGGGTATTGTCAGTTTCACTATAGCTCTGGTGAATTTCAATGGTGAAGTCCTCTGGAAATCTTCAATAATTGTTGTTGATTTCAAAAGTGTCTAGTAGTTTGCTGATGAAGTTTCTCATTCATCCAGGTCATAGTCATTCCGTAAAAATTTTAAAAATATATCCACTGGACTTGGTTTTCAAGATTTGAAGACGTTTCGCCACCTCTCCATGAAGCTTCCTGGAGAGGTGGCGAAACGTCCTCAAATCTTGAAAACCAATGGATATATCTTTTGAATTTTTACGGAATGTCTAGTAGTAGGTCCCATTGATTTTGCTTGTAGAGATAGAGAGAATGGCGCTAGGCTTACCGCACCGTGACATCACTGCTGGGAGATGTCAGAAAGGAGGTGTTACTATATTATCTATATCCCAGACCAGGGGTCACCAACGCGGTGCCCATGGGCACCAAGGTGCCCTCAAGGACCACATGGGGGGACCTCAGAGTCTTCTAAATAAAGAACAACCCACCAGTGGGCTAAGTTTGAAATTTTATTTTATTCTGTTGCTCTTCTTTTTAATCATTTATAGAGATTTCAAAATGACAATGTCTAAATAAACTTCGAAATTAACAGAAACAATAAAAATATGTTGATAAACAAAGATTAGGCTAACAGCTCATGGGTCAGTAATGGTCGCCCTTCCTACGTCTCGGTACCCTTGAAATGGCCCTCAGCCTTTAAAAGGTTGGTGACCTTTTTTTACTGATTTTCGCTAAATTCATGAAATCACATTTAACGTATTAGTTTTAGGTATAGATATTGATCCATTGATCTTTCTTTGCTGAACGGACTTTTCCTTTAAAGTGAAGTTAAAAATTAAAACCAGGTTGACCCAAAGAAAAGCTTGTAACGGTGACAGTACCTGCATAGCCCTCCACCATGATGATACGGAAGTAATCAGGGAAGACTGACGCTGAAATGATGGTATATGTCAGGAAGTTGTTGGGAGGAGAATCCTCATCGGTAGCCTGTAAATAAGCAGAAGTTTGGGGAAAAGTGGGGGCTCTTTTAACATATGTCTTAGTGAAAGTTCTTAAGTAAGACAACGAAGACAAGTTGTAACAAAGCAGATGTTTCTATGTGCATGTTTGAAATATAGTAAATATTTAAGTATGAGCATGTGTCTGCAGCCAGGAAGCTGTCAGTCACCAGTGACAGGTTATTGGATGGATTAAAGCTCATTCTGGCTATTAGTGGTGCAGACGTCAGTTCTGGATGAACACCAACTGAGCCACGACAAGCCAAGCAGGCAGAGGAAACATGAAACCGTTCGTTGAAGAACTAATCCACAACAGCTTCAACCGCGATGATGACACAATCTCATTATTGTTGATTTGGCAGGAAGTCTAAAACGAGTCATCTAGCTGTGAGGAGAGTCTACTGGGCCTTACTGGCATCATTAGAAGCTGGACAGGTTGTCAGAGACACTCATTTGTATCTGCACAACAGACTTATCTCCATGCTTTCATTTAATGCCAACATGTTGACTAAGCAATACCTTTCTTCCCCCACAAGTTCTTAAGCAGTGGCTTTCCTTTCCGGGCTGTCTTTCTAAATCAATTTTTAACAAATACTTCCCCACTAGACAGTTGTTTTCTACCTTAAGGGAAAATGAGTCGGGGGCAGCAAATCAAGAAGATGAGTGGAAAAAAAGGAAATGAATGAAAGCAGAACCTCTGCAGTAGGAGGCAAAAACCTCCAAGGCAAGAACCACAGAGCAGGAAATCCTCTCTTTGCTTTGTCTACTGAGAGCAGTTTTTGAACACTTGTGTGTAAAGCATCTAAGTTCCCGGGCAAACTTGCTGATACACACAATTGACTGTCTGGCTTCTGTTTTCCTCTTGGGCAACATATTAATATCACCGGCGTTCAGAATAATCAAACACAGCGAGCCAAGCGTTGAGACCAGTTCACGCAGTGCGCTGTACACCCGAGCAAGCCTCAAGGGTTGTTTTTCTTTGCAGGGTGCAATCAAAGCAAACGTTGAGCCATTAGTTACAATTGTGCCTGTGTAGCTCTGCCTTTTGTGGCATTGACTGATGGCCAACACGCCGAAGCTGACTGCTTTTTCTTTTCGGACACAATGCACATAAAACGCTTATAGAAGTTTAGAGTGAAACTGATGAAAACAAAAAGGAGCAGCGACGGAAGTTAAAAGACTAACTTTTTTAAACATTTACATGCGAACGTAATACATCACTTTGATTAATTGACCTTAAATATAAGGGTTGTTGAAGTTATTTGCAGGATCTGCATCTTTTAAAACATGATAGGAAAGGAGATTTGCTACTTAATCAGGTCTAATAAACCAGCAGCGTCTTTCTGTGCTGCAGCAATTTCCCAACGTTTTTAACAATGCAAGCAATAGGCTTTTTTTTTTTAGTGCTGGTTTATAGGCATAAAATTTTTTTCTGAAAATAGGCTATTTTGCAGGGGTCTTTATAATTTATTTTTTATCTTGGATCCTAAATTGATAGAGCAAAGACTCCATCCATCCATCCGTCCATCCATCTGCTGAGCTCCATCATTCTATGCCTGCCATTTTCCATATAAATCACTGAAGACAAACCTGATTTTTACGATGCCCTTGATAATAAATGTGCAAACATGTTTATACATCGGTGCTTTTTAATTTAATCTAGAGTTCTGCATAATGTATACAGTAAACGTGTAAAGCAGTTCTCTTTTATCATTAATTAGATAGAATAGTCCTAGATGACTGCAGAGACAAACTCTTCCATATAAAACATAAACTGGTTCTTAAAGAGCCTGTATTCTGTATATTTTTTGGAATATATTGTTAGGAATTATTAATTTAAGTATTTTTTATGACAGTTTTTGCTTAATATGCTAACTTCAAGAAACCAAAGTAGGACATTTAACATGATGGTATTAGTGCTGCCCTCCTCTGGTTCAGAGGAGAACTGCTTGTTCCAGAGTTGGGGAACTACTAACCTGACTCCGCCAGATGGATTTTCTCCGCATATCCATCTGGAAACCTTCCGTTGAAGTAATTTTGGGAAGGGGCGAAAATACTGGTTAGCTGATTGGCCTATGTTGGTGATAGCTGGGCCAAATAAACCAATCAGATCAACGAAGCATATGACATACTAACAGAGCGACGACGAAGAGGAGCCAATTGATAGATCAAACTCTAGCCGAAACCAGTCGGGAGGAGAGCAAAAACATCTTTTCCTCTGAGAAAAGCTTCCAGAGCAGGGTTTTGCTCTTCTTTCAGTGAAGAAATACTCTGTAATTCCGATAAAACTTGCTCGATAGCCACGCTAACGCTAGCTTCATCGGCTGAAGCCGCCATGTTCTTTAGAGTTAACTGTTGCGCTTCTCGTTGCGTCACACCTCAACCCGCCTCAAAGCCAACGCTGATTGGACGTTTGTTTGGTGAACTGCTCCAAATTTTCTTTAACGGAAAGTAGCCAGACTGATCTGCGAGTGAAACCTTGAAAGCTCGCGAGATCAGGATGGTTTCACGAGGCTAGTGAACTACATCCACATGGGAACAATCAAGCTTCTTTCCCACTAAAATTACTGGGTTTTTCGAACATGGTTGAACCCGCTCAGATAGATTTCGCTCGCTTCGTATTTGAGAAAAAAAAGCTGGGTTTGACCCCTGCTGCTAAGCTGCGTAACCCCTCTCCCCCCGCAGCTATGTGTTTTTTCATTCTTTTTTCCGTCCGAACCTTCCTCCCCAGTGCTGCTTCCTGTAGCGGAGTTGTTTCGGCTATTTATATCAGGAGCGACTGGCAGGGTGTGTTGATGTCTGTTTGTTGCGCTCAATGGTGTGACGTAAATTAGCAGGACGACCTGGGTCTGATGTTTATTCCTCCTGATAGGAGGCAAGGTGTTTGAAAGCAACCTTAACGCAGGTTGTTTGCAGTCCTTTGAACCAGGTTGACACGGATCAGTGAGCCATTCCCACTGCCATTAAAAGCCAATTGTTTTAGGTTTAAACAGGTTCTTTGTCCAGTGGACAAAAGAAAGAACGCTGACTGGACCGGACCTCAGTAGAGAGCCATGGACGCCCATCCTCAGTCTGGGGAGAGGGGCTTGTGGCTGGTAACAAACATCCCAAGTCTCCCGAAAGTTCTGGGAATCTCCTTGATATAGATAGTTGTTCACGGAAGCAAGTTGGATAAATTATCCCAGTTATTAGGCTGTGCGAGGTGGTGTTTTTTAATGCGAGGTGAGAGCGTGCAGGCAATACAAATAATTCGTGCATCATTACTTACTTCAATTGTGCAGGTACAACAAGAGAGGAAAAGGTTGCTTGTGAAACCTGTGCGTATCTGTCCAAAGTGATGCTCTGTTCAACCCGTGTTCCAGGTGACTGGTTGTCAGAGATTGTATCATTCAGTATTAGTTTCGGTCTCTGACATTCACCTAGTTACTACTTAAAGCTGTGCATCATGTGAAATAGGTAGAATCCCCATTGACTCATTTTTAAGCAGAATATACTAAAGTATGTCGTCCGTCTAGTGAAGAATGATGACGTGTGGATGCATGGGGCAATGTGCGGGCCGGTTGTCTTCGTCGGTGGCCGAGGATTGGGGTGTATGGGGGTCGACCGAAATTTTTAAAAACCCCCCTGGACATTTTTTAAGGTATGAAAAGTAGGACATGTCCGAGAAAAAGAGGACGTCTGGTCACCCTACTCTATCAACAATTTGATGTTTCAGTGAGTGAGTGCTTGTTGCTATGATGCGTCTTTGCTCAGCAGCTTCGTTCATTGTAAACCAACCAATCAGCGCACAGCTCATCTAAATACTAGCATACCATAAAAGGAAGAGGCTTTTAACCAGGCTGCATTAGGGCTCATAGAACAGCTAATATGCCATTTTCAGCCCAACCAATGTTACACACCCTGTTCAGAGACCTTAAGGACCAAATACCCTATAGAATCATTCTATGACAACTTTAATATTGTCATTAAAAGTTACATTGTTTTGTTATTCTCTTCTTTGCTGTTATTCTGTTCCACAAAATATATTGAATTGTATTTGATTGAGTAGTATTTCAGCTTGGAATGGGTTAAAACTAATCAGAAGTTTTTATGCAGCACTATAATACTTACATAAATGTCTGTTTTGGGTTAATATTTGAAACCAGCGATGAACACAGGTGCATGTTTACCAAACACTTTAGAGCTGCTATAAACAGAACAGTAATTAGAGAATAATTTGTTACCTCAGAAGGGGAGCGGCGTTCTTTCAGCCAAACATCCATGAAAACCAACTGGTATTTTATTTTATAAACTAGTCTGTAATTCGTTTGTAAGTCTGTTAACGATGACTTACCCTGATGCGTGTCACCGACTGCACCGCCTGCTCATTCTCTCGAAGGGAGCCCACGTACATATCTTTCTGAAAGAGCGGTGCGTTGTCGTTGACGTCCAGCACATTTACTCGGATCCTTCCCGTCGTTTCTTCCCCCCCACCATCTCTTGCCAGCACGGTAAGAGTGAAGCGACGCATTAACTCATAGTCGAGGCTGGCCTGTAGAATAACCCAGCCTGTTTCATCATCCAGTGAAAACCTACATGAAAAAACAACAGTCAAAATGAGAGAATAATCCCCGTCCTGCACATAGCTGAGAGTTATTTTATGGCACTTAGCTCAATATGGGACAGAATGTAATGATTAAACTCTAGCAGAGTTGCATCATTAAGCAACAAATAACTGGAAATATTTCTAAAATTAGAAATGTATTCAAATTTATTATGGATTAAAATATATTTGGTAAAAATATGCACATACACTGGAAAAAAAAATCTTAAATTAAGTGTATTTACCCTTAATTTGAGTAGGTAATTGAGATGGTTTGCCAATATAATGAGTATTTTTACTCTTAAAAAAAGATAATTAGATAATATGCACTTTAAATAAGACAATGGATTTGAGTTTTCTTATTTTAAGTGTAAATTGTCTTGTTCCATTGGCAAGATGTCTCTTTTACCTCCTCAATCCAAGAACAAATACACTTATTTTAAGAAAAAAATGACTTATCTAGATTTCTATTTTTTTCCAGTGTAAAAGGTATAGTGGAGGATTTTCTCAAATTTTTCCAAAGGCCCATCCTCTCCACAACCCTGTAGCCCAGCAGTGGGCAATTCCAGTTCCTGAGGGCCGGTATCCTGCAACTTCTAGATGTGACTCTGGTTCAACACACCTGAATTAAGTAATTAGATTATTGAGAGGACTGAAGGAACTGACTGCATACTGAGGAGGCAAGTCAGCCCTTTGATTCAGGTGTGTTGGACCAAGGATGGTTGTAAAAGTTGCAGGATACCGGCCCTCAGGAACTGGAATTGCCCACCCCTGCTGTAGCCGCTCCCCGGAGGGAACGCCTATTAAATGTGTGCAAGAGCACGTCTGAGCACATTTGTACTCGTGCACGCTCTGTTTAAAAGTTGCTGTTTGCATTGCTCATGCAAGCTTAATTTCCAAAAGAAGATTTGCAATTTTTCAATGTCAGACTCACCACTTGTAGGTCAAAATGGAAATGAGCACATAGGATGGCCTTACGTAAACATATCACCAGAATGATTGACAATTAGGAGGACCACTTATTTTGATGATCCATCAAGAAAAACAAGATTCTCCACTATACCTTTAAGACTCATAAATGCACATACATCCCTTGATTCCTAAATAAATGTTCTTTTGGAAAGGGGTAGAATTTTTTGTAGCCTTAAACTTCTGCTATAATTTGCAGAATTGGTTGGAGTTGGCTATAGATGGTCTACAAGTTGGGTTTACCGTTTTGCACATTTGTGAAGTATGACTGAAAAAAAGGTTTTATAAAGGTTCTAAGATGACAAACAGAAGCATAACCGTCATTAAACGTAGCAAAATAAAATGTATTGTTATCCAATAAAGCAAAAGAAAACATTTTGTGAATTTAAATGTTTGCTGTGATTAAATAAAATCTTTAAAGAACTAAGAGAACACGATGTGGTAATAATCACCAATTGTTTCTGAAGCTAAGCTGTTTGTCAGAAATAGTGTCTGTCAGTTAAACAGGTCCAAAACCTATCATTGCATTTTATTGCTGTACACTTTTATGGAGTATTTCATGTGTGTTAGAATGTGTTTTAGCTTACTGGTCTGGCTCGTCGCTAAAGTAGTAACGGACAATCCCAAACGGGCCTGCATCTCCATCTGTGGCCTGGAAGGAAAATATTAGAGGAAAAAATCATTAGATCCTGCAAAATATGCCTCCTTAAAAAAAAAAAAAAAATTATATTGTGGATTTTTATTGTGGTTAGGTAATTTATTGAGTATTGGACACAAATCTGGATCTTAATGTTAATGGCTCTACGTTGGCCATACCATGCCTCTACCTTTCTTATACCTCATCCAAAATACTTAGGTTATCCTGAGCAATTTTCTCCATTTGTGCTGCTATAGGCTTAAACTGCTGGAGGACATAGGGACCTCTTTTCAATACTTCATCTCTCTCCTCCCATTCTGCAGTATAACCTTTTCTTCGTACCTTTTTTCATCGTAGCAGCTTTATCTGGTTCTGTTCATGTGACACCATTTCGCAGAGAGGTGTCAGCTGTGCTGCTGCCATCAATGGCTTATTTTATAGATGTTGAAGGTATATACTAGCCTCATGAGACCATCCTGATCTCGCGAGCTTTCAAGGTTTCACTCGCAGATCAGTCCGGAGACTCTCCGTTGAAGAAAATTTGGAGCCGTTCACCAAACCAACGTCCAATCAGCGTTGGCTTTGAGGCGGGTTGAGGTGTGACGCAACGAGAAGCGCGACAGTTCAGTCTAAAGAACATGGCGGCTTCAGCCGATGAAACTAGCGTTAGCGTGGCTATCGAGCAAGTTTTATCGGAATTACAGAGTATTTCTTCACTGAAAGAAGAGCAAAACACTGCTCTGGAGGCTTTTCTCAGAGGAAAAGATGTTTTTGCTCTTCTCCCGACTGGTTTCGGCAAGAGTAGCCTGGCTTGTGGTTGTGTTTTCGTCCTCGCTCTGTTAGTACGTCATATGCTTCGTTGATCTGATTGGTTTATTTGGCCCGTCTATCACCAACATAGGCCAATCAGCTAACCAGTATTTTCGCCCCTTCCCAAAATTACTTCAACGGAAGGTTTCCAGATGGATATGCGGAGCAAATCCATCTGGGGGAGTCAGGTTAGGTATAAACATGATCTAGTTAAATTGTCTATGTAAAGTGCCCTGAGATGAAATGTGTTGTGAGTTGGCGCTATATAAATAAATTAAATTGAAACCGAATTTATTTAAATTAGGATGCATAAAAATGCAAAATTTTACAGAGAAAATAAAAGTATTCCAGTTCTGAAGATTTTGAAAGTGATCACATTGACCGATGCTGGATGAGGCTGTACATGGGCAATAAAAGGGTCATTCACCAAAGGTCTATATTTTATGATCAAAAGTCCCTCGTTTTATACCATTTTATTGGTGATAACTAAACAGAAAATAGTTTATTTACTTTTGATTGAACAAAAAATTAGCTGTTGGATTAGTGCAATATAGTAATGTCTGAAAAAATAACAAAAAATGAATGTCAATGTGATCAGTAGGCTGTGGCAGGCAGACACTATTATGTTTGAAAAACTATTTCTACCGAGCAAACTGTGCTGCTGCGTCCGGAAATGAAACCTGAAACTCCAAGAAGGAAACAATACATCAATTCTGCACCAAGCTACACTAAAGTTTCTTGGTCACAAGTAATCTAAGGTAAACAGAAAAAAAGGGACATCTGTTCCGTGTTCAAATTAGTCTAACTTTCAGCACACTGGAGAAAAATGGGTGCTGGCTTCAGTGAGCCAAGAACATGAAGTTCCATCTATGCTGCTACAATCGAAAGCTCCAGGAGCCTTTATTTAGGTTTGATATATTTCATTTAGGGAAAACATTACATTGGTTGATACATTCTTCTTTTCAGGACTAAAATTTCCAAGGCAGACGGTTGGATGGATAAACAAATATACTACCTAAAGATGGATAACTTATCTGGTAGAAAGATGGATGGATGGATGGATGGTGGATAAATGGATTATTCGTGGAGGGATGGCAAATGGATGGATGACAGATGGATGTATCGATGGATTATGGATGGATGGATGGATTATGCATGGCTGGATTAAAATTTCCAAGGCAGACGGTTGGATGGATAGACAAAACTACCGCATAGAAGATGGATAGCTTATCTGGTAGAAAGATACTGCGCAGAACCCTCAATCCATCCATCCATATTGAGCTGGATGGATGGATAGATGGATGAATGGATGGATGGATGAATTATGGATGGATGGATTGATAGATGGATGAATGGATGGATGGATGGATGGATGGATTATGGATAGATGGATGGATTATGGATGGATGGATGGATGGATTATGGATGGATTATGGATTATGGATGGATGGATGGATGGATGGATGGATGGATTATGGATGGATTATGGATAGATGGATGGATTATGGATGGATGGATGGATAGATTATGGATGGATTATGGATTATGGATGGATGGATGGATGGATGGATGGATTATGGATGGATGGATGGATGGATGGATTATGGATGGATGGATGGATGGATTATGGATGGATGGATTATGGATGGATGGATGGATGGATGAATGGATGGATGAATACAAAATCCTTTGGATGAGCAGAAAGACAAAGACAACCTATTGACTACTGGAAAGGTTACAAAACGATATGGAAATCCAACCACTGGCCTACAGCATCTTTATTTCCTCTCCCAATGTTTATCCGCTGGAAGCTACCAGAATTAAACCGTTTATAATCAGTTTAGGAATGACTTCCTGCCATCTCCTGTCTCTCCTGCTGGAAGTGTCCTAATTTCACCTCCTAAAAGGAAAAAATAAACACAGTTCAACCCTAAAATTTCAGCAGTGATGCTGATTGGATTGTGGTCATAAAATATTTCAATTACTCATAAGTGATGAAGCACACTTTTACTGTAAACATGGCCTGAAGCTAGTTGAATATTTCTTTAGTAAGCTAAATCTGTTTCTCATCAGGCTCTAAACCTGTAACCTAGAAAGTGACAAAGAACAGTATTTTATTTTTGTTCTGTGAAAGTCAAAATTAAGATGTGCATCAAATATTTATTTCCCTTTTTAAAGCATTCCATTTTAGTGGTGTTTGTTTACCTCTAGTGGCCTTTATTTAAGTTACAGACAGGAAACAGGATTATAGAAAGGAGGAAGACATGCGGCAAAGGTCACCAACCAGTGACCGCCGCATTGATGACCATGGCCTCTACACATGGGTCCTGCACTTAACCCCAAAACCGCCGCCACGCCCCAAACATGAAGCTTAAATCCCTTTCAACACTTCTACAGTTCTGTAAATGTCCTGACTGAGCCAGAAAAGTGCTTTACACACTGAATAACTTTGAGATTCAATAAAATTAACACAAGTTTAGCAACAAATTTAGAAACACGTGTTTTTGATAACTCAATTAAAGCTGACATGCTCCTGCCTTATTTCGGTTGTGCTATTCCTCTGCATACATTTGCGCCACTGTGAGTCTGCGCTGCTGTAGCTCTGAATAAAACTCATCTGTCATGAATGTCTTTTGCTCTGTTTCTTAAATTTCTCGCTCTAACAGCTGTCTGCCACTGTACGATAAAACATGAAAGCCTGGCTTCACTTTCTGGAGGTGTTGATTGGATTAAGTCTGATAGGAAAAGTGATATATTCTTACCACGAGACCAACCGCTGCCTTGAAAATGGCAACAACTGCCGTCGTGTTTTAAGAGATGAAAGAAAAAGAGCATGTAAAGAGCAACACTCAGGAACAGCGTACTTTTTAAAATGCCACATTAGCACAATTTGTCTGAAACAGAAACACTCCTGTTTATGGCACGCGTGTGCGCAGGGCCATGAGTGCTGATGGATCGCAGCAGGAGATGCCGTTGTAATAGAGTTTCACTTCGGTGGCTCCGGAGTCAGTTGAAGGGCCAAACTTGAACGTGTCTGTTGTCCCTTCTGTCAACCACCATACTGCTCACAGTGATTCAGTGGCGGCAGAGCGCACGCTGTGAGCTCGTGAATGGGAGTGGGTGAATGCTTTCCTTACATTTCTGTTTTAGGAAACATGTTGATTTATTACCTGCTATTTTTTAAGCACCACACCCATCCTTAGACATTTATAACATCTTCTAATAACTAGATTCTGCAAGATTTTTTATGTTTATGGTCTTTTTTTTCCCCTAGGATACTTATTCCTGTTACTGAATTTAGAATGATGACCTTATTGTTAATATGGTAAAAATAAAACAATAATAAAAAAATACTAAACTTATTTTTTTATGTTAAACTGTACATATATATATATATATATATGTACAGTAAAAAAAAAAAGTTTATTATTTTTTTATTATTTTTTATTATTGTTGTATTCGTACCATCTTAAAACAAAAGTCAGCATTCTAAAAAAAAGTAACATCTCTCCAGAAATATAAATTTAAATTTTTTTAATAAATTTTTTTCTTTATATTCTCTCTCTCTCTCTCTATATATATATATATATATATATATATATATTTGATATATTAGGGCTGAATTAATTAATTGGATTAATCCTTAATTGAAATTATTGATTAACCATTAACTGGTGTATAGACACTCTAAAACAGGGGTAAACAATTAATAATCAGCGGGGTCCGAATATAGAAAATCATCAACCAGTAAAGGTCCGGAGACATTTTTAATTATAATCTGATACTTTAAACATAATTTAACACTGAAATAAAATTAGGTTTTTATGCATCCATGTTATACACTTACGTTTTAAATAAGAAAATATTTAAAAAAAATAAAATGATTCCATTTTAAAATCTAAAATGTTTTTAAAGTAGCTAACAACAATTGTTCAGTTTGGTATAAGGACTATTTCTTGATTCCCATATTTTCTCAAACCCCTGAACTGACTGTTATTTTCTTTCTTTTTTCTGTCTTAATGTTGGCAGTAGGCTTTATGCTGCCCTGCAAGGCTTTAAACCTGGGTTTGAATGGAGACTAAGCCATTCTCAAGCACATGTCAAGGTGCTCATTTTGAGCCTGGATCCAGATTTATTTTTGATTCTGTTCATGGTGGAGAATCCTGCTTCACAGCAGCAGGTTGAGCCAAACATCCTCTAAATGT